ACATCATAACAAATAGGAAAACATAGGGGCTAAATTTAATTAAAGTGGCTTTGTATCTTGCAGCAAGATATTTATTTAATTTCAGTTTCAGCAAATATTGTGGGACAGAATTTGACAGAAATAACTATTTAACTTGACAATTTCTATAAAGGAATGACAGTCATTCATCCTTGTGATCTTATCACAGGGTCATTTAACCTTTAAACAATTATTTTCAAAATTATAAATGCTTTATGTTTGTTTATTCCAGCTTTGCTTTACTACTTTAGCAAATTAGTTACGCGAGAGAGGGAACGTTTCCTAATTTGGGTATGGGACTTGCAGAAAGAGTCATTTGATTGATGACTGTGGACTTCGGAAACAAAATTTGAATACATGTCCGTGCACAGGGTAAAGATTAGGGGAATTACAATGACACACATGTTTAAATTTTCATCAACACAGATGCATATAGATGCATTTATCAATCAGTAATTCATATTTCGTAAAAAGTTGCACTCCAATCTTCCACTATCGGACAAGCAAGGGATAGAGATTGCCGGATTCCAGTGATGCTTAACCGATCACGGTTGCCTAGTAGTAGGGCGTTTGCTCGGGAGGCCCGGGTTTGATTCTCGTTCGCCGCGCCGCGTCAAACCCAAGACGTAAACAGTACCTTTGCAAAGCGCCCGAAACTAGAAGTGAAAGTCAGCGGTCGTTCGGATGAGACCGTATAATCCGAGGTCCCGTGTCACGGTAGGCGATGGCACGATAAAGATCCCTTGCTCACTGCTCAATGGCCCTGAGTGCCGAGTATAGGTCTAAATTTGAAGCCCTTCACCGGTATATGGTGACGTCTCTATATGAGTGAAAAATTCTCGAATGGGGCGTAAAACAACATACAATATACAATCCAGTGATGTTGGAATTTTTTAGAGCAGGCAAGATCAACGTTAACAGAGTATATACATTTTCAAGGTGAAGGAATGATAAGTAATATTATACATGTTTATATAAATAAAAGCAAGACAACTTTAACGATGTTCTTTTCATTTTTATTATTGGTATCAATATATTTAATACATTTCTGAGATTTGTACATTGAGTGCTCATGTAATGAGTAAACATGTACCTTCATTTATATATTCATACTGTATATTATGATTTTTTGCTAATTTAGAATTTGTCTGGAATAACTATTCTGTTAGTTCAATCTTTTACATGTAATAGATTTTTTCGATACCACATTCTTTATATGGACCTGTCATGCCCAAAGATAATTGGTTTATCTGCGTCATAAGGGTGGATTTTGAAAAGATTTACATTCAAAATAAGCAAAATGTGAAAGCAATACTATTTACGTCATGAAAATTTAACTGAAACAGTTTTTATATATTCATTTTAGATTGAAAGGTTTCCTACATGCATGAGCATTTTTCACTTATCATTTCTAAAAAGCAAACAAAAAAAAACATGCATAGAAACATTATTTGAATAGATGTACTCCCATTGCTTTATTTGACCGCCATGTTTTATATCTTAATTGCTTGAGTGATGTGATCAGTATTGAAAAAATAAATTAGAAGGATTAAAGTTACGTAGAATCACATCTTTAAACGATTTTATCGTTGAACGAAATTTAAAAAAAATGTAGAAAAGAACTTGAATATGGACTGCATCCAAATTTGGAATGTGTCTCAGTCTCTAATGTAGATGCTTCAGTAACTACATTTACTTCATTTATTTTTATTCCAGTTTAATATTTCTTTCTTAAAATATGTAGTGTATGTGTAACATGTCTTACTGCAGAACGATTTTACTTGCGTACTGTGAGCAGCCTCATACATAGGCGTCGGAACTGGGAAAAAGTGGGGGAGGGGGGCTTCGCCCCCCTTTTTTTGTTTACAAAGAATTGGTACTGAAAAAAATTCGACCCCCCCACTCCACCCCCCACACACACAACATACATGAATTAGGATTTTCGGATTTGGACAATTTTCAAGTTTTCTTTATTTTGGTTGTCAAGTTTTTGTCAGGTTTGAATTTTTTCTCTCTTTCAATTACCCCCTCCCCCCCCCCCACACACACTTTCAATTTGCTTCCGACGCCTATGTCATAAATATTCCCGCTGCAATTTTTCAAAGTGCCATATACTATTTCTAAATGTGACCAAAGTGACCTTGGTGTAAGATGACACATCCTATGGTCATAGGTATTCCTTAAATTTGGAATCCAATATTTCTACATTACAAAAGTATGGATATGACATGCATTTTACACTATTTCTGCCCGTGGAGTTGAACTAGCCACAATGCCCTTTGGTCGTATTCAGAGCATGCTCTAGCGTAAAATAAGTTGAGCTATAAACACCATAATTATGCAGGCGATAGTGGAATATTACTATATAAATAGACGTATTCATGAAGTTGGCGATGGAAAAGCCGATCGGAAGTCATCCCGTTTGTCATATAATTTAGTTGTTAGTTGGCCATAAAAGTCTAGCTATTATCGATATCAGTATAATATCCAAATACAAAACAAATGTTGGGATGGGAGTCATTTTTCAACGGGAGTCAATTTACTATAGGTTGCAGATGTAGAAAACTAACCCCTTGGGTTCTTTTTCTACCAAAAATGACATTTTTTTAATTAAAAGCTGGAGGTCACTTTTCAACTTCAAAAACTGACCCCGGCCGTTTTTCTACGAGGGTCACTATTCGTCTTTACACCGGACCCCCTTTAATTTGCGGAGATATTTAATTTTAGTTTACATGTGTAGTATAGTTAAGTAACGAAATAATGAAAATGGACCCCATCCTAACCCCCCACCCCCCCCCACCCCAATAAACGCGGAACCCTGTTAAGCTATACAGGGTCATACAAATGAAGCTTTAGAAGTGAAGGAAAGCTGCTTTTCACGTTTGGGAGAAGAGGACTTTTTGTTTTTGTTTTTTCCCTTATCAAACAAATTTCTTATCTGGACTGGGGTGGACCCCCCACCCCCGAAAAAATTCCCGGATCTGCGCCTGAACTCCTTTATTATATGATATCTCTTTTTCGCGATTTTTCTATAGCCATGGGTAGCGCTTGACATCAAACCGTTGCCATTTTCCGGTATTTCCTCAAAAATATCTAGTCAGTAATGGTGAGTATGACCCTCACGGTGCGATAAAAATTGACTGAATCTGGTCGGTGGTACATGTAGCCATTATGTTTCAAATGTCATGGAAATTATTCATTAAAAAAACCGTCGTAAACAATTCATAACATACGGTAGATACACGTATAGAAAAGTCAATGTGTAAAATAATGGCGATGTTTCTTACCGATGTAGCATAGGAAAAGTCTGCAAAGCCAGAATTAAAACACTTTTACCTGACTAATAGCAGAGATACTTTTTAAATCTAGTCGCGGAAAAGCAGTGTCGAATCGCAGAAAGTTGAACAGCGATGATTTTAGTATGTCATCTCATTTTTATGACATACAGATCAAGGTTAGGGGCCATTTTACCAAGTTATTGTCTTTGACTTTGATTTATAATTAATTCACGGTTTTCCGATTAACATGAGTTGCATTAGTTATTGCCCTTAGATTTTGATATTTTTTTTTTATTATTTACTGTTTTCTGGTCTTATTTCCATTATGTTTGTAATTGATCACTATTTTTACGCAGCTAAAGTATTCTACGGTATTGACAACTAATTCAAGAAAACAAAAGCAGCAATATGAATGATATTCTATTTTGTTTCCTTTGGACCATCCTTTAGTACTTTCATATTCTTTAACTTTCAAATATTTAAAAAAGTGCATCTCAGCAAGGGCATCTAGTCTAAAATCAAAGGTTAAAAAACACTCTGCAAAACCTTGTCCGGGTCATATTTTCTCCCCCCCCCCTTTTTTTTTACTCTCTGGCTCATACGCTGTACTTCACGAATTGCAATCTAGTGCTCGATCATGATTGAAGTGTGTAGCGACCCTGAACCAAGTCTCTAGGTCAAAGTTCCAGGTCATAGCAGATATCAATTGTTAAGTTTTCTCCCCTTGGCTTCTTTCAGTTCTTCTCAATGAATGAGGCCGTTGCCATTATGGAGCCTATAAATCTTAGCCGAAAGAGTCGTCCGCGTGGCTCAGTGGTTAGAGCGCTTGCTCGAGAGTCGCGGTGTTGTACGTCGCGGGTTCGAATCCCACTGCGGGACATGGAGACTGGTCCTTTGGATGAGACCGTATAATCCGAGGTCCTGTGTCGCTGACGTGAAAAAGATCCCTCACTGGTCAATGCCGAGTATAGGTCTAAATTTTCCGCCCTCCACCGACAAGTGGTGGCGTCTTCATATGAGTGAAAAATTCTCGAGATGGACGTTAAAACAAACAAACTTAGCCGAAAGTATATCTAAGATGGATTCAAACTTTCAGGACTGTGTAATTTCAGGGGAGAATCCAAGATTTTTCCCGGGATGGGGGTGGGGTCCACATTAATGAAACAAATGTCACTCTCGGAAATCTTTTGACAAGCTAAAATCCCCAATAAAATCCTGTTTCAAACGTGGGGTGGTGGGTGGTTAGGAGATAACACTTCCCTCAGTCCATTTTCTTTAGACACACTGCTTCCTGTTTTAAGAGGGGTCCTTTATTCCGGAAGGGAGTCTAAGATAAGTTTTTTGTTATATTTACATGCATAGACATTTGATAATTGAAAATAAATTCTAGGGGTCCGGACACCCCCCCCCCCCTCCCCGGACCTGCCGATAGATCCGCCAATGAAAGTAAAAAAAGAGCATGATTTGTCTGCGAAAATCACATTTAAACTGCGAACTACCGAGTACAATGTGTACTCTCCCGTAAATCAAATTTAGACATGCATGTATTATTTACAACATTGAAGATGTTTATTTGAGTGAAAAGAAAGATGTTGTGTTATAGAAAATGCTGCACATCTCATAATTTTGCGATTTAGTTCAATGTCAAGTTCTGTAACCCCCCCCCCCCCCCCCAAATCAATACATTGTATAGTAGGAACACTATTAGTCGAGTTTCCATCCAGCAAATGTAGTTCTCGTGTACCAACGAATGCTCTCTATAAATGTAGTACAAGCCATGAGTGATCGAATATAAACATCGTCATGCGCATTTAATGCTACAACTATAGTCCCCGAATCGGAATCATAATCTGCGACATCGTCATCTGTTTCTCCAAAAGTGCTGCTCATTATATCGTCATTGACGTAAATACCAAATTCACATCTACCATGGTCACCAGTGTAGATAGTCCATGTAAATACATAAATCCCAGCAGTAGGAGCTGTGAACGTCCCACTGTGTCCGTTATATCCCCTACCGAAATTCGTTTTGATGACGTCAAAAATGACCATATGATGATTGCTTGGATTTTGCTCCGATTTTGACATGTAGGCGTAGAACGCTACTGGATTATTAGTACCAACTAGTCTTTTACCATTGCTTAAAGAAGATGGTTCTACAAAATATAAAATTTAGATGTTTGCATACACACAAACCAATAATCCTTCAGAGGAACCCAACAATATCCCTCTTGGTGTACTGTAGATCACTTTAAATTCGCGAAAACTTTATTTTCTTAAATTATGCGAGTCTGTCTGCTGGCGAAAATTTTATTGTCGTGTTTATTTATATTTTTAAGGATAATGTAAAACAGAAACCCCAGCACTCAAAAAAATTAAGTCTCTCTTATAAATACCGATTATCTTCTCGTGAAAATAAAGTGTCGCGAAAATAAAGTGATATTCAGTATATATATTACCGCTTTTTTCATTTTGATGACATGCAGATCCTTTCATTTTGTCCATATCATTCCTCAGGGCTTGATTCTCGTTTTGTAGTTCGCGTATCTCATTTTCTTGGCGCGTTACAATAATTCCCAGTGCCTGGTTTTCCCTTCGCAGCTCGCGAATTTCTTTCCGTATTTCACTTAATTCAGTTTCGATTTCGGTGTTTGCAAGATTTATTGACAAACACATATTCAAGAAAAAAGCAAACCATATGCCAGTCATTTTTACCATCGACATTACAGACCAGTTGTAGGTCAATGTCGGTTCTTATCTCTGATGCACTATCGATTGCTAATACACTATGGTTATTATTTTATTTCAGAATTAAATATAAATTACCCATTTGTAACAATGTTGAAATTAAGAAGGCCGAGTCTAATCCGAGTGTGCATGACTTTGCTCAGGTTTTTAATTTCACGCAGTCGTAGGTGTGACTTTACACCTTTCCTATGCATTGTGGTTTTAATACAAAATTAATATTATCTGTGGTCGAAAATGTGCTTTTAATTTAAGACAGTAATTAAGAAAATGCTGAAATGGCCCTGACGATCGACATTGCTGTTTTCCGGATTTGTAAACAATTAGTGACGCTGAAAAAGGATGCATGACTCGCTTGTGTATTCAAGACGTCCATAGACAGTTGAGAAACATACCAGCAATATAAAGTTTGTTATTTTTTTTACCAAAATAATTCATCTGCAACGATATATCCGCAATATGGCAAATTAAATATAGAGGAATTGGACATTGAAAAAAAAAATTAAACTGTTAATAATTTCTAGACCAAGACGGTCGACTTTTTTTTTTTCAAATTTCATAATTTGGTGACTTTTTACAATAGCTCTCATGTATTTGACTGAAAAGAATCGCTAGAGGAGAAATACAAAAATATGGAAAAATGTGATAATTTGGCAACAAATTCCTTTAGAGTCCCATAAAAAAAATTTGCCAACTTGTGAGATCCCCCCCCCCCCCCTAAGAAATCGGGATGTAAACATTCCATTATTTAATCTTAAAACAATTAATATAATAGTAAAAATTCATTCAAGAAAATTTATAAAAATATCTAGGGTAGAAATAATTAGACTTGGCCCCTTTAACAGTCATGTAAAATGAGAAAATCACCTCCTCAAAAATTCGAAGGTGTACCAATAAACCAAGAAACCCCAGAAGTATGATGCACTATCTGTCTGGAGATGTAGCTCCCTTTTAAGCCTATCTTTAAAAGTTACATATACATATATATATAAGGAAAAAAATTATTTTTAATATACATATAGTAAAGTTCAGTGAAAGTGCTTACCATCAGACCAAAATGATTTTTTAATGTAAACTAGAAATAAAATACTAGTATTCATTCCATGATATGCTTGTTTATCTGTACACCAAAGAATTTTACTAATTGATGTAAAACCTGCCTGTTAATTGTGTATCAGTCAGATTAAGATTAGAATCATGGAGATACTACATAAGGTCAAAGTGGTCAAACCCTATTTGCTTTTTTCCTGACGAACCATTGAAAGTAAAACTGAGAATTAAAAAAAGATTCTGAACTTAAATTGAAATATAGGTAACACTAGTAAGTATCTTAATATCTGCATTGAATGTCCATGTCTGGTCACGCCTACATATATATTTGAAAGAAATACTATATACCTGAATTAGCAGTATGGAAAGTCCTCTAATGCCTTCATTGGCTATATGGGTGGGCTATATGGTGAAGGTTTTTCAATGCTTGTATTGGCTGTGCAACAGGTCATGCTATGTCCGCATATCTTAAAATAATTACTATAATAGGAAAGATTCCTAAATATCTAGGGTAGAAATTATTAGACCGGCCTCGTTAAATTAAGTACAATTTGAAGACATTTTTTAAAGGCAATCATCTTTTTACTTACACTAAATGATTGCTTGATTATATATTGTTTTACGCAGGCCCGTAGGAAGCAATTTCACTTTGGGGGGGCACCACACCAAAGTAATTTACGACAAAAAAGTGATATTGACAAAACCATTAGTAAAAGATAATTGCATAAGTATGTGCATGCATCGAGGTGCACGACATGTACATCAATCTAATTAGTTTCCCAGAAAACCCCTCACCTTTAATTTTAAGTTTTGTTTTGCTTTTTTGTTGGGGGGGGGGGGGGGTTAAGGATTTATTTTTCACATTTTCTTGTTTATTTCTTTATCATTTTGTTATCAATCATTATCATTTCTGAGTCATGAGGTACTTAGTATTCGGTAAACTTTCCAAATATCGCCAGTCTGTGTTCACTTTCACTTACGAACTCCTCAACTATTTTTTCGGGATCCAGTTCATCTGTCTCATTTTTATGAACATGCAATAAAAGCAAATTGTTTGTTCGTATTTGGCTCATTGTTGATCTCAGTGATGTTTTCAATCTTTTCAAGGCGCTGAATGAGCGCTCACTGGTAGCGTTAGTTGCAGGAAGTACCAAAATTAGTTTGAGAATTTTGAGGATCTCGGCAAACAGACTTTTTTCATTTGAATGTCTGAAAAATTCAACCAAACTTGGTATATCTGGCATTATGTCTTTTGGTAAAGCAGTCTTCAGCATGAAAGCTGGCAGTGAAGATCCTTTGGCTTCAAATCTGTATCATATAGGGTCGTGACAAAATTGAATTCTTCTTCAAACGTTTGACCTTTGCAAGCCTTAATTACGAGGTTTTCAAGATTTACATAAGCTTTGTAACCTGGTTGGTCAAATCTAGACTTTATGACAGCTAAAAGCAGATCTAATGCCTCGTAGAAATCTTTCCTATACATATCTGCACACGATAAAAAATTATGTGCTGCTGTCCCATCATCAAGTTTACGAGGAATACTACCTTGTCTAGGAAGAACAGCATCATCGATGTTCATCTGTTTTGCTTTTTCAACAACTTCCTCGTAAAACTGAGTGAAGATTGTCTCATCTCGAAGACTTTGCAAAGCACTCATTGTCGTTGATGCCATTTTTTGACCATCACTCGCTAAGAGATTTGGAGCCTGCAGAGCCCTTGCCAAATTATCACTATAACGTAAAAGTTTTTCACTCAGTAAACACCCAAAGAAGAAATCAAACCTGCACATATAAGCAGCCACTCCCCTAATATTCTGTTTCTCATTTCTACCTCACGCACGTATTGGAGGCATTCATCCCAAACATTTCTTAAAATTTCATAGTTTGAAAAAATGCTCAAAAATGTGTCGGCCTTTATTGTCCATCTTGTGGGACACAAAACCCTTATTCCCGCTGACGTTTTCTCTAGATTTTGGGCATTTTTTAATGTATTGAAAATCATCTCCCTTCTTGGAGATTCTTTAATCAACTTTGTTATATCCTTTGCAATGTCCAGGGTGTCTCGAAGCAACTTACATGCCTTAATAGAATAACTGCAAGCTAGGTTAAGAGCATGACCATAACAGTGTATGTAAAGGGCTCTGGGTTCAAGTGCATGAATTTGTGTTGCAACACCTGTCTTTGAACCAGCCATGTCATAACACTGGCCTCGTACTTTGCTGATAGGCAGATCGAACTTCAAGAGGGCATCTTTAATTGCTAGGGTTATTGAATTAGCCCCAATGTCAGGAAGACAGTACATCCCTAATAAATCTTCATGAGCGGTGAAATTTTGATCTACCCATCGAATGCATAAAACAAGTTGCTCTTTGTTCGAAATGTCTCGTGTTTCGTCTGCCATGATTGAAAAGAATTCAGACGATTTGATGAAGGCAACAATTTGTCGTAAAACCTGCAACCCCATGACCTGCAATATTTCATTTTGTATATCTGGAGCAACGTACTTATTTGTCTTGCGTTGAAGCCATTCCTGAAGCTGGGGATCGCGTTTAGCCTCAAGCATGAGAAGTTGATTAAAGTTTGAGTTTTTCTCGTCTTTGTCACCCCGAAGAGCAATTCCTTGTCGAGCAAGAAACTTCAAAATGTTTGTGATTTTTAGCAAATTCTCTCTGTTAGACTTCTTCTCGACTTCGTGTGTCTTTGAAAGAGATTCTCCAACATCTTTAACCTCCTTCTTTATCGTAAACTCCCTTTCCATTGCCTCTTTATGACAATCACTTTTCTCATGTTCGGCGAATTTTGTGGTTGCTTTTTTCCAGTTTTTAAAACCTCTAGATATGCAAGCTTTTTCTTTCTTGTGACAACTGAGAGTCTTCTTCTGAAATGATTTTATGCAAGAAAAACAGAATACAACATCTTTGTTTACTACATAATGTAACCAAGACCACCGATCAAACCAGGAGGCATTGAAAGATCTCATCTTTTTACCAAACCTTTTTGCTGGAAAGAAAATATTCCGTGGCTGATTTGGGGTACTACCAATCTCGGGTGTATGCCATTTTTCATGTACAACCTGGGCCTTTTGAACTGGTATTTCTGACATATCATCTTCTGATGAAGAAGAATCGAAAAAGGAAGCAACCTCAACATGTTTGTCCGTTTCTTTCTTTGCAGTTTCCCCCAATTTACCTGTTTCAATAGACTCCTCATTTGTGTTAGACTCAAAGAATGGGGAAGGACTATTTTGTGATTGTTTTGGTTCAAATGAGCGATGAGGCTCAGAATCCTCAAAGAATAACCTAGAACGCTTTGAAAGAGGTTCCTTATACTTGTGAATACAGGCAACAAAATGATTAGGTGTCCAACCATCTATTTTTGTAGCAATTGTGTGAGTCCACATGATGTGGATAGCATCCTGATTTTCTTTAGCATCAGCACGGTCAAGAGGAACAATAAGCTGATTATGATCTTTTCTGTTTACACCAGGGTTTTGCACCTCGGGGAATATTGACATGATTGGTTTCTGCAAAACGTTAGAAGCGACGAATATATGTAAAAGGCTTGAATAGTAACCGTTTTGGGTTGTTTTTATTGTTTCCTTTTGTAATTAAGCAACCAAATCACCAGTAAATAAGCAATCTTCTGACAGGGAACTTTCAAAGATATATTGAATTGAACTTTTGTTTGTGGACATGGTCACAAAAGTGTTTTCATTTGTGTAAACAAATTTGTGTCAAACACAATTCGTACCCTCATTTCCTTAAAATTGTCCTCATGTCCAAACACAAAAAGAGAGAGAGTTCTGAATAAACAATTCCCATCACCATATACCTGAATCGGGACAAGCTCAGAAGGAGCATCATTTGGATAAATCTCTGAGGAAACAACATCTTTTCGAATATTCGAAGTTGGGATATTAGGTATGGTTGTTCGAAGGGGATATTTCTTAAAACTTTGCCTTTGAGTCTAACAACAAAATTTAGTGCTCCCCATCCCTTTTTTTCCCGCATTCCTTGCTTCTTCGTGCACTTTTTCGAAAAATGCCTTTCTTTCATCCGTATGGGCATACATTGTGAAATATGATCAAAGTTGAAACTGTGCGGAAGGTTGATGTTACACTGATATGACAGTGTCTACTCTTGGACCAAGAATGAAACAGATCTAGACAGCCTGAGACTTTACAAGCTTTGAAAAAGTTGTCACAAGTCATGACCTACGTCACTTGGGGTGTGTTACGTCACTGATAGATCATACTTCACACATTGTCGGTTTACCTTTACCATAAAAACAGTGAGGATAAAAAAATCAACAATTCATCATATTAGCTTTACAAAAAGATTTTAAATATATACAAACGTTGAACTGATATTAGGGCAGTTGGGTATAGACATTTTTGTATCAAGACGAAGTTTCTACGAACAAGCTATGTAATGAATTATTAGACCTTGCAATTTGGTCAAGGTCACACATATAAGATACCTTTTGATTAACAACTTAAGGTCATATCCGAAATATCCTTGACTTTCACTCATAGTACTAAGCTTGACAAACGAACAGTCACTACATATGTAATACCTTTTATGTTTGACACCAGACGCGGTGCTGGGAACGAGAATCGAACTATGACCTCATGATTACGACCTTTTGGATGATGCCCTAAGAAATGTTAAGGCACTAAGTGATTTTCATAATAATTTTTTATTTAAGCTGAAGGACAGTCACGCTGACTGCCTCTCAGTCTCATTGATTTAACGAGGTTCGCTCCTGAGCTTTTGAGCAGATTTTTATCTTAACCTATATTTCAAAGATTCTGCATAATATTCTAATTCTTACAATAAATTTGGATTCTACAATGCCAATTAAACCATATTCAGTTAAAACTCCATGATTAAATTCCATACCAAAAGCATTAAATGAGGAACTATATTTTGTGGCGGAAGGTTTTTTAGAAGAAAATTATCATTTTTTTTCTCTTTCGAAGTATTTAAAGTATGTTAAGTTTGGATTCCCATTTTTACATGCAGTCTGCACACAGAGTTATTTTGTGCAGTGAACTGTTTTATACTGGTCCTGAATTATATATCAAATAAACTGTCATGAAATCTATCATCATATTTGATAAATATAGCAAATATATTGTGAAAATCAAGGAAATAAATAACCTTAATTTAAGCGTAAAATTAGCACTATTTTAGTAATATCTAAAAATTAACATCACAGACCCCCACTTTTAATTTTCTTTTCTGAATATATAAGATTCTTTTAATCATTCCTCTTAAATTCAGTAAAATGTCATTACTTTCAAATGATTTTTTTGCTTGTTAAATTTTTAATGCGAGAAAAATGAAATTTTTTGAGTGCAAAAAGGTCAAATAATTAAACATGCGGAGTAATTTGAAAATTTTGTTGTTGTCACAAATTTTAATGTGTCTATTTAAGATGAAATAAGACTGAGTGTGTTTGTTCCCATAATATATTTGAATAAAAAATATTTGAGGAAAACCTTTAAAAATTGATATATGTGTAAGACGTATTTACAGTGCAAAAAGGTCGAACTAAATGCTCTGTAGCGCCAAAAGAAGTGCATTGACCCCTATTTTTTGTTTTGATTTTTAATTAAGCTATGTGTATAAATTCTAAAAATATACTTGATAAAAAATTCTCATTACTTTTGATGGCAGGATCCAACCTCCTTAAATGAACTTTCTGCTTAAAAATAATTATACATTACACTATATGTTAATTTTACTATGTGATTTTTTTTTTTGAAAAAATATTGGGGGGGCACGGCCCCCCCCCGTGCCCCCCCCCCGGTTCCTACGGCCATGATTACGTCCTTTCCGAGAATTTTTCACCCATATAGAGACGTCACCATATACCGGTGAAGGGCCTCAAATTTAGACCTTTACTCGGCACTTAGGGTCATTGAGCAGTGATGGTTCTTTTTCCTACCAACACTTACCGTGACATGGGGCCTCGGTTTTTAAGTTCTCATCCGAAGGACCTGCAACTTTCGCTTGAAAGTGCCGAGCGCTTGGCGAAGGAACAGTTACTACCTATTTTTTTTCCGACTTAAGTCAGTCGCGGAAGGGATTCGAACACAGCACCTTGCGATCACGGAGCGAGCGCTCTACCGACTTAGTTACCGTGACGGTCTAAATGATCGAAAATTAAATTATAAGAAATGAAATTAATATATACCCAATTTATACGGTATAAACTAGGTTGGAACAGTTTACGCTTCGCGGTTTATATAGCGTAAACTGCCCCAGCCAAGTTTATACCGTACAAATTGGGTACCTATTAAATTCATTCCTTAAATAACAAACTAAATTCGTTAAAACGAATTCGACAAATCGTTATATCGAAATTATATATATATATATATATATATATATACTAGATGAAATCCCGCGCAAGCGCGGGTAATTAAATTTATACCACTACCAACAGAAAATATATTATAGTTTATACTGACAGCCTACAGGCTTATAGCAGGAAGAAATACTTCGTTCAAAATCCCGCATATGCGTCTGCAACCCCCCACCCCACCCCCTTTTGTAAAAACTTGAAAAAATAACAATTTCATTAATTGATGCTTATTGTGAAATCTGTTATACTATGTTATGGATATTGTACTTCAGATGCTTTTATTAGCTCACCTGAGCTGAAAGCTCAAGTGAGCTTTTCTGATCACATTTTGTCCGGCGTCCGTCTGTCTGTCCGTCTGTCTGTCTGTCCGTCTGTCTGTCTGTAAACTTTTCACATTTTCGACTTCTTCTCAAGAACCACTGGGCCAATCTCAACCAAACTTGCCACAAAGTATCCTTGGGTAGAGGGGATTCAGGTTTGTTCAAATGAAGGGCCACGCCCTCTTTCAAGGGGAGATAATTAGGAATTACTGAAAAAATAATGGCATCATTTAAAAATCTTCTTCTCAAGAACCATAGGGCCAGGAAAGATGAAACTCATGTGGAAGCATCCTTAGGTAGTGTACATTCAAGTTTGTTCAAATCATGACCCCCGGGGGTAGGGCGGGGCTGCAATGGAGGATCAAAGTTTTACATAGAAATATATAGGAAAAATCTTTAAAAATCTTCTTCTCAAGAACAGCAAAGCCATGATGAGTCATATTTATATGGAAGCATCCTCAGGTAGTGTAGATTCAAATTTGTTCAAATCATGACCCCCGGGGGTAGGGCGGGGCCACAATGGAGGATCAAAGTTTTACATAGAAATATATAGGAAAAATCTTTAAAAATCTTCTTCTCAAGAACTGCAAAGCTATGATGAGTCATATTTATGTGGAAGCATCCTCAGGTAGTGTAGATTCAAATTTGTTCAAATCATGACCCCCGGGGGTAGGGCGGGGCCACAATGGAGGATCAAAGTTTTACATAGAAATATATAGGAAAAATCTTTAAAAATCTTCTTCTCAAGAACAGCAGAGTCATGATGAGTCATATTTATATGGAAGCATCCTGAGGTAGCGTAGATTCAAGTTTGTTCAAACCATTACCCCTGGGGGTAGGGCGGGGCCACAATGGAGGATCAAAGTTTTACATAGAAATATAAAGGAAAATATCTTCTTCTGAAGAACTGCAAACCATGATTAGTCATTTTGATATGGAAGCATCCTCAGGTATTGTAGATTCAATTTTGTTCAAATGATGACCCCCAGGGGTAGGATGGGGCCCAATGGAGGAAGGAAAGTTTTACATAAGAACATATAGAAAAAATATTTCTTCTCAAGAACAGAAAAGCTATGTTTAGTCATATTGATATGGAAGCATCCTCAGGTAGTGTAAATTCAAGTTTGTTCAAACCATGACCCCCGGGGGTAGGGCGGAGCCACAATGGAGGATCAAAGTTTTACATAGAAATATAAAGGAAAATATCTTCTTCTGAAGAACAGAAAAGCTATCTTTAGTCATATTGATATGGAAGCATCCTCAGGTAGTGTAGATTCAATTTTGTTCAAATGATGACCCCCAGGGGTAGGATGGGGCCCAATGGGGGATGGAAAGTTTTACATAAGAACATATAGAAAAAATATTTCTTCTCAAGAACAGAAAAGCTATGTTTAGTCATATTGATATGGAAGCATCCTCAGGTAGTGTAGATTCAATTTTGTTCAAATGATGACCCCTAGGATACGGAGGAGCCACAATGAGGGATCAAATTTTTACAAAGGAATATATGAGAATTTTTTTTAAAAAATCTTCTCAAGTACAACAAAGCCATTTGTTATATTGACATGGAAGTATCATCAGGTAGTTTAAAATTCATCAAGCCCCCCCCCCCCCCTCCCGGTCTTTTCAATACTGAACTGATTGTGCTTTTGCCTAGCCAATGTGCTCAGGTGAGCGATGTGACCCATGGGCCTCTTGTTTCATTTCCGTCAAGGATAAAAGCAGTGAATATGCACATTTTACTGATAAATTGATTGGTTTTTTTGTTTTTGTTTTTTTTTTTGGGGGGGGGTGAAAATTCACAGGTGCTTGGGTCTTGGTTTAAAATACGTACGTACCTTATTGATATGTAAAAAATGTACGTTACCTTTTTTACATATCAATAAGGTACATACATATATATAAACCAAGACGCAAGTGCCAGTGTAAAAATTAGCTTTTAACGCCCTATGAATAGGCCGAGTATTTGATACAAAAGACTGTATTCAGAAAAAAACTGAAATGTATTGATTAAAGCATGAAATTTTACAGCTTTAATTGTATATGAGCAATATTTTATTCATTAATTTTCTCTTTTCATGTAAACAATTTTATTACGAAGTAGAAATTGTACTTCGGGTTCGTTGCCACGATGCTCTCAGTAAGGAAAATATACACATTATACCGATAAATTTATTAGGAAAACCTACTACATACATGTAATAGTCTTTCGATATATAAATATATTAAAGTGTTATCAATGATTTACCATTATTTCAATGACCATTCACACAAAAGCTTCTTTTTTTTATGTTCCTGCAGCTATAATCGTCTTGTTTTTATTTTTAACATCGGGCTCGATGCTATATGATGTTCTAGAAGCTTCCGTCAATATTAAGATCGGTGAATGACAAAAATTATTTGCACATTTCCCTTTTTAATAGGTTATCACAACTTATTTCTTTTATGTCATTTAAATCAAGTTTTGATTGAATAATTCAGTGATGACGTTTTATGAAATGAATAAACGATTGATTGTTGTCAGTTTCATTGAAAATCGCCAGAAACTTAGATCCGCCAACCGGAAACGCCACCGTACTCACGTTTTTGCTATTTCATGGCTGTTTATAGAAAATAAAAGTAGACATTTGATTTAATGCACGATACTTACAATGCGAGTGAAATCTAAATATAGTTTACGGACATCATATTGTATCTAGTGTATTCTTAGAGGAGTAAGTAAAAACTCTGATGCATCCGTTTCGGAGTTTATTTGCAAAATTTATTAATTTATAAGTATAGATATATATATATATATATATATATATATATATATATATATAGGCCCTGATTGTTGAATTTAATTAAATGAATTTAATTCGTTATAACAAATTTTAGAATTTGTTCAAACGAATTTAATTCGTTTTAACAAATGTTTGAATTCGTTATAACGAATTCAACAAATTTGTTATAACAGATTAAATTCCTTATAACGAATTTAAAGAAATTACAACGAATTAAATTCGTTATATCGAATCCAAAAATATTTTTGATAGGTCCTAAATGAGCTTCCGTGGAACTGCGTAGCAGGAGTAGCGTTTTGAAAATTGTTTACAAACGGACAGACAGATGATGGACGACGGACACTTTACCCATGAAAAAGCTCTTCTTGTCTTTAACCAGTAGAGCTAAATATCAACATTCTTCCAGTGAAAATAGCATGGCTTATATATTGATTCTTAATTCATTGAAGAAAGTTTTACTATAATGTATGAATTAATATACATAAGCTGATAGCCTTCATCATGAATAAGCAGCTTTCCCTGCAATTATCGGTAGAATAGAGCAATTTTTGTCACCTTTCACAAAGTGGGTGATACTAGTTTTGGTCTGTCAATCTGTCCGTCTCTCTGTGATCCGTCTGTTTGTAACATTTTTGTTGCTGGTGATATCTTAAAAAAGCCTTTGACCTCTGGCAATGAAATTTTAAACCAAAACTCCCCCTGGCCTAAAAAGATCCATATTGATTTTGAGGTCAAAAAGTCAAGGTCATAATTTCATACATTCTGTCTGTTGTATGACACTTTCGTTTCCGGGCAATGTCTTAAAAAGCCTCTAAGCTTTTGCAATTAAATTTCATATCACAACTCCTTATGAGCTTAATAAGACCTATATTCTTAATTTAGGGGGTTTTTTAAAAAGCTTTTTTCAGTACAATTTAATATCATAACTCCCTATGGTTTAAAGAAGACCCCTATTGATTTGAAGGTCAGAAGTAAGAAATAAATACAAACTGTCTGCAATGTTCTTTTAGCTTTTCCAATGAAATTGTATGTAAATCCTAGTGACCCTTTTGATTTTTAGGTCCAAGGTCAAGGTAAGAAGTTTATACACTGCAAAGAAGGGGGGTTCCAGATGATTACCTTTCCTTTAGCTTTTTTCATGAAACTTATATCACTACAGCCCAGACTCTTTTTGATTTTTAGATCAAAAGGTCCATGTGAAAAATTCTTTTCTTGCAAAAAATTGTTTTCCTGGTGATAACTCTAGTTCTCTTGAAATTTTACACCTTTAGTCAATATAATTTAAACAAGATGCCTTCTGATTTTGAGATCAAAAGTTCAAAATCCAAGGTAAGAAATTCATACTTTGCATACATAGTTTTCAGATGATGAGTTCTATGAAAGTTTTTGCAATGAAACTTAAGGTCTTGAATTTCTTTAGCCTAAAAAAGACCTCTATTGACTTTAAGGCCAAAAGTCAAGGTTGACTTTTTTCTTTCTCAATCTGCATATTTTTTTTTTCGAGTTCTTCCACATTCTTCCTTTTTCCCTTAAGCAGGGGACACAAATTCTCTGAACAAGCTTGTTTTATTTACATAAAAACCATCTTTAACCAAGTTCAGAAGCTGGAAGTCACTTTTAATGTTGATAAGAAATCTGCATGTAATTTAACGTACTACAATAAAGTCACAGTTATTGCTTAAGAAATTTAATCCACAAGACATCATCAACAGTTTGAAATATCAATTTTTGTTTCAAAACACTTTTAAAAAATTACATTACCATTTCTATGCACATTTGTAGTGACAATAAAGTTGTAAAATATAGATAAAGTGATGAAACAAAAGTGTAACATATAGCCAAGTATAATTTTCAGAAATATGTTTAAAGCACCAATTCAACCTGAAATTAGCAGAATACAACCAAACAGAAAAAAAGATTTAAATATCTTAAGATCTGAAGCAAATTCAGTTTTCTTATTAAAGGTAATATCAAACACTATGTACTCTACAAATTGTCTTTTATTCAACACCAATTATATCTGATCAAACTACTTTCTTAATATTATTGTAAATCATGTCATATACCAAATTTTTTTTTAAATACTGATTTGAACACAACTGTATATGCAATATGACAGTAGATTATATAGTTTTAATTTCAAGTCATTTTTTATCTCCTGGAAATTATGTATAGAGCATTTAATGAATCAAAATGCTACCTAAATGCATAACAGTAAAATGGCAAGCCTACAGAACTACAAAAATTTAACTTTCACAAATGAAACATATTTCATGTGATAATAACAAAGCAAGTAATTAATTTCATGGGTTCACTATATAGAACAAAGACTCATAAAACACTTTTTTAACAATTAAACAAATTTTAATTGTAAAGCAAAGCTTGCTGCATTATAACTTTTAATAAGAACATTGAGAGTTACAAAGTGGAGACTTTAAACATTTGTTACAATTAAAAACAATTTATGTATGTGGAGAGCATAGTTCCAAAAATTCTACATAAAATCATATGAAATCTTAAATCATAAAAAAAAAATATAGCTCACTTTTTAAAAAATTGTAACAAAAAATGGCACATATATAGTGAACAAGCTCCATTATTCATTCAAAAATGTAAAAAAGAAAAAAAAAAACATTATATGACTAGTACATTATAGAATGATTAAAGCTTATGGAAGACAAACACACAGAATCTGAAGAATTTTATTGCATGTACATTGTATATTTATCTAAAATTAAAAAGTCAAAAGCAACACAAACTTTAAAATTAAAAAAAAATCTGTTTTCTAATAGATCATGAATCCCTTCTTGACTGTCCTTTTATCAATTAACATTTTTTTAAAACCTAAACACATAACAAAAAAATTAATCATCACGTGTAAGCGCCTTTTATTAAAACAACATTATGACAATTTTTGTATTAACCCATCTCTCTATTAAAATGTATTATACTCAATGAACACTGAATGATAGCTGCTTATCCAAGCCATTGGTCCATGCAAAACAATCATTAAATATAAATTTAAAAAAAAATCTACAATCATTTTAAACAGCAAAACAATATTTTACTCCTATACAATGTATAAATAAATCATTGAGCCATTGTATCCCAATTAAAAAAAAAAGATTGTCTTAAAGATATTCCAAAATGTTGTAAGGAAAATATACAAACCAAAATAAAAACTCTGTGAAGAAAACCACACCACAAAATTTAAAAAATAAACCACAAAAGAAATAAACAACCAAAAAAAAAACCTATCAATATTTTTTCATTAAAGCAGAAATAGCTTACACTTTAAGGCATACTAGATTTAGTATATCATGCCCATGGCAAAATATGACATTAAAGATCGAGACAGAATTGAGAAAATTTTTAACATACTAGTATTTATGCAAAATAAATTTGGATAATTCCTAATTGAAATATATACAAACCATATATACACAACAGATATAGTAGATTCATATAATACATACACGAATATCACTGGTTAGTAAATTCTTATATCAAAGCTAATTTACACAATATGTTATATATTTATCAAAATAGTTCAAAGTAAATATACACTAATTGTATTAGGCATAACACAATCTAGGCTACAGTCTTAAGAGTATAATCTGAGTAGGTGTATTTCTAAAATCTGAATAAATTGTTCTAAATCTAGCATTTCAAATGTCACTGCTAAAGTTACATTGCACCAAGAAGCACTCTGTTAGGTTGATTCATCTAAAATTCATGAATGAGCTTTGATGAACTTGCAAACTTTTTCGTGGGCTCTACGGCAACATTCTTCAAAATGACCTAAAAATATTTTAAATAGCACACAATTTAATTGTATTAGGTGTCCTAAATAAAGTGTATACTGTATCTTGGTTTATTTATTCTACATGTACTTGCACAGAGACCCAAGATAAGCAAAAACCATCAAATTCAAAAAAAAAATTCATAAGACCCATAGATGATAGATATAAAAATTGGTTTAATCATTGCAGAGCAGAAAGTTTTTGACAGTCCTGAGCATGTTGCACAATGGACATCAAACAACTAACAATGACGACAAAAACAGCAGTATGTCACCTGAGAAACTCAGGTGACTTCAAAATTTAATTTTGACCACAGCTGACTTCAGGAATTGTTATTCCAATATTTTGAAAAAAATACCAGTACATATATTTACTTTTAATCATACTTTGTTGATTTTTGGATATGGTACTCTACTTATGCATTTTTTATACATGGAGAAGATGTTTTTGACCTAAGTGTCTGTCTGTTTGTCACAAACTTTGTAGAGAACATCACTCATAAAGACTATATTCATTGAGTGGAGTGAATTCAAACTTAAGTATGTTACTGCACATAACCAAATGGTCATACTTCAAGCACCAAGATCTATATGTCATGAGATGTTGAAATTGTGCTATGATGATAATCTAAACTGGACTGAATTTGAACTTTTAGTACCTTATTCTGCATGGCCTGATAATCTGTCATGATTTTAACTTGCCATGGTTGCTGTACTATGAGATTTTGAAAATATGCATTGGTATTATCCTGGATTACTTGACTGAAACATTTTTAACTTTTATATGCTGTTGCCAGAACTGTGCTGGACTGTGAGATAATATTTATCCAAGGTTATCTCAAAAGTTAAAGTCACTTGGCAAATGAGATAATATTTATAAAGGATGTCAAGAAAAATAAATTTAAAAAAAAAATCCCAAAGCACTAGAGTCTTTAGTAGGTACTGTAATACTTCATTATGTTTACCTGGTAGGTGGAAGAATCCATGTGTGACTCCTTTAACAGTAAATAACTGGGACTTTACTCCTGCTTCTTTAAGTTTCTCATGATATGCTGGAAACATACAACAGCATTATGAAATGTGAGAAAAAGTCTGATCAAATTACTATCCTTCATTCAGATGTTTTTGATTCTAAGACTTGAAAGACTGTGTAGTTAAAATTTGTTTTGTTTTTATTGTTGCTTGCATAGCATGGCAGACAGGTATGGATCACACTGTCAATTGCCTCTCCCTTTGTTCATCTATCTGTCTGTCTGGGAAGAATACACATCAAAAGAAAGCTTAGAAATCTTTTTTTTCAAATGTGAAACTTTATGCAAAAATACATCTTGGGACTTTAAAAGGTCAATTCATGTTCAAAACTGGGGGAAAAAGAGTGCTGTGATGAAATATGTCAAGAGTTCTGGGCTTCTATGTGAAAGTGAGACTCCTCCCAGATAGACAGATGGACAGATAGACACTGGACAAAGAGATCTATGTGTGTCTGCCATTCCATGCATGTGACTCAAAAAGTGCAGATAATAAAACTGTATATATATTTTATCAAAAATTTTACTTTTTTCCCTTTAATACCATGAGTACTATTAGGTAAGATAAGAGATTAAAGGTATATGTTATAAAATATTATGTCTGTAAACTACAGTTAAAAAATGCTTCTAACAAAGCTATACTCTTTCACCATGAAGTACAAAGTAATAAAATATTAAATGTATTAACCTATAGCACAAGCTTAAGTGGATTATGTGAGTACTGTTCATTCCTGAGATACAAGTTACAACTGTACTTTATTCAGTGAAATCTAAAGATAAGCAGTCAATGCAGCTTAAAGAAAGATACATAAAGATCATTGGTTGCAATTACAATGTAAATAAAATATTTTTTTAGTAAATATGCTTATTTGAAACTCGGATATTATTTCATTATTAGATGACAGTGCAGTGAGTGCACAAAGTAATCACCAAATTGTTAAAAAAAAACCAATGGATGACAAAAAGATCACTCAGATTTTAAACAAAAAATTTCTCAATTATTAATCTTAAGTATTCTGAATTCCCCCTTCGTAAACAATTGTGATCTATTACAATCTTAATAGTGACATCATAACTGAAGTTCAAAGAATTTTTCCATGAACATTAGGTTCATTAATTTTCAGATGTATTTTAGGTAAATGACCTCATTTTACTTACAAGGTTATAATTTTTGTGAAGAAACACATGTATGAAAATACAGAACCATGTGAATTACATACAAAAATATTTATTGATGTATGCATGCATATATATAATACATTATCAAAGTCTATTCCCCAAAAATTCCTGCACATGCTGGATATATAGACTTTAGACTTTATACGAAGTGATCCTTTTGACAGTACATTACTGCATGCTTACCAATACCCTCATCTCTCAGTGGATCAAGTTCAGCTATGATAACTAAGGCTGGTGGCAGAGTGTTAAAGTTAGTTTGAAGCAGAGGTGAAGCCCTAGCATTGCCAAATTCTGAACGATCAATGTAGTGGTCCATAAACCTAGAACATACAGATTATTTGTTATAAACATTTCACCATGTCAGGCCATCTTACCGTAACCTTGATCACGATTCTGGTCCAGTTCAGCTAAGAAAATTAATGCTGGAGGGAGACCCCTGAAGGTTTTCTGAAGTATTGGTGAAGCTTTAGGATTTGTTATATCTTTTTCATCTATGTATTTCTCTGTAAACCTAAAATAAAATCCTTTCAGCATACATACTACTTCAAAGTAAATGTATATAATAATTGCAAACCCTTTGCTCAGAACTCGATTGAACCCAAGGTAATGCATCCATTTGTAGAAAGATGCTGAAGTGCTAAATAAAATGAATTACTCTCCAACTAAACTAACTTTCTTTACATGGGAAAATAAACAATGAAAAATAAGCAGCATAAGGGGGAATAATGAATTTCAGCAACAAATTCCTTTGATATAAATGGGCCATTACCAGTCAACCATCTTTTTCGTGAGTCCAGGCATTTCTGCAAATTCCTCAGATGACTTGTAATTTCTCCTCAGGTCTACACTTGGGTACACAAGCACCTGCACAATAGGAAGGAATTATAAATCAAAGAAAAGGATTCCAAAAAATACGGAAAAATATTAATATTTGTATCATTTTGTGCAATTTACAGTTGCCTAGAATTTTTTTTCTATTTTTAGCTGTAGAGTTGATTATCTTGAACATAAAACTATGGTGTACATCCCTACATACCAGCATTTTTATAGCAATTTTCTTTAATTGACCAAGCATTTATAATGAATACATGTATCTTGTGATTTTACATACCATGCTACAGATTATTTGAAACACATCAATATGATCTAAGAAAATGATAAATTACAATGTTTATGTGTATTATTTCCTGTCCAGTAGATTAAAAACAAAAAGAAAACCAAAAGGAATACACAGTTTATTAAGATCATGTTGATACTTGTGTTAATCAATGATAAACAATTAAAAACATTCAATAAGTATGACTCAGACTTAGAATTTTATTGTTTTTGTTTGTTTTGATGCAAGTAACATATGATCATTATGTGAAATTAAAAATGATGTATCTTAAATAAAACAGAAAGCCACATTAAAAAGGCAGAGAAAAATTTCATGAACCAAAAATTAATACTACATATAAAGGAAATGGTTTGTGATTAAAATATACTTAAATTACTGTATACAGGGAAATTTTCGCCCACATTTTATTTTCGCCCCTTTCTCCCTCGTCGCAATTGGGCAAATTTAAAACGGGGTGAATTCAAAGAAAACAGCATTATTTCTTAAACAGAACTGTGTCTGGGCGAATTCAAAAAGGGGCAAAATCATTTGCAGGTGTAAAAGAGCGAAAATAAGACGGGGCGAAAATAACCCTGTATACAGTAGTATATATCCCATCCCCCCTCAAAAAATAATTGTAACTTTCCTACAAAAATCTGGGGAATAAATGAAAACAATAATGTATTTTTAAAAAAGAACTGCTGATGCCATACTGAATTCTATTTAAAATTTGACTTGCAATGATTCAAAACATGTATAATGTTTGGTCAAGAAATATTGCACTTTTATCAAATATTTCTATAGTGAAAATTTATCTTTGTTAATTATGAATTACAATATTTGGAACTCAGTAATGTTAAAAAACAACATACGTAATCAAAGATTAAATAGCTCATCTTGACAAATGTTATTTTTAAGGAAGGCAAAGTCCCACACAATACAAGTATTTTGGTTGTGTGCATCCCATAGATGAAAATTTATGAAAGTTTTGGCTAGGTAGGATTTTCAATTCATATGGGAATAGACTTGCTCCAAAAACTTTTTCTGTTCAATCACCCATAAAATGCAAGATTCAACATCCATATCAAGTTGGTAGTGTGCATAACTAAGCATAATTCATGCAAGTTTGTCAGCATAGGGCTTGTGGTAACCTGGGAACAAACCTCTTTTAAAAACTTTAATTTGGTCACTTGGTCACTCATCCAAAAAAACAAAAAAGGTAGGTCAAATCCATAATCCAGAGCAAGCCTGTTAGTTTTCATCTCCAAGATGAATCATCCATGCAAAATTTGTCAAAACTTATAATCCTGCTCCAAAAACTTAACCTGTCCTGTTAAGTAGATCAGATTCAGCACCCAATGCAAGTCTGGTAGTGTGCATCGATCTCTACAAGCATCATCCATGCAAGTTTTAAAAGTCGTCAAAAGGCTTTAGTTACTTGGGAATAGACAGGCTCCAAAAACTAACCTGGTCACTCATCTGGATTAATGGATTGCAAGATTGGTCTAGGAAGAGCTTAAAGTTACAATGGTACAAACCTGCTCCAAAAACTTTAACCTGGGACACAGAGGCCAAGGGTATTACATAAGCTCCCCAACTTTTTTAAGGGGAGCTAAAAATGTATACACTGCATTTGATAAAATCAAATAAACCCAAAATAAAATAATAACTTGAAACTGAAGAGTAGACACAACATGCAGTCATGCAGCACTTGCATGAAATTTGATGCATGTTACCTGATACCCCAAATCTGGGACCTCATGACAAACAAGAGCTGCCATGCGACTCCCCTCTCCATCCCCACCTACCCCTACTGTGCTGCGGTTTACCGCACCTAAAACAGAAAATTAAATCCACCCTGTTATTACCTGGTAATCTATTTCATGCAATTCATGACAAACCATGGCTGCCATTCGTCCCCCTGCACTGTCTCCTCCCACCCCCACTGTGCTCTCATTCACTGCACCTATTCATAAAATAATAACCAATCAGAGAATACCTGATATTCTATGCCCTCTACATAGTGGCACACCATGGCTGCTATCTGACCACCAGCACTGTTCCCTCCTACTCCAATAATGCTTTCACTACTGGCACCTGTTAAAGCACTGTGTATATACAGTCAAACTTGTATAGACCCTGGTGATGGGAATCGGTAAGAATTTCATAATCAATGATCGGGCTACTGTAACTAACTAATTATCGATTATAATTAAACATTTACAAAGTCTGTCAATTTTAGTTTATTAAATGGTAAGAATGGTGAATAACTACTTTCTGTGGTTGTCCAGCTGTAGTTAGAATAATCTAACTGTGTCTCAGGACAAGCCCTAGTCCGTAGGACAATATCATTTTAAAGATAGAACATTCTATCTAGTCCAGCTGGTTCTTCGTTCATTTTGTAGAATCCAAAGTACGTCCATACCCGGGAATGAGCGTTGTTACCCGTGTATGTCTGTTTGTCCATTACGATACACGAATAAGTAAAAAGACAAGTCGTGGCTCGAATATTCTGCTTAAAAACTATTACGCTTGTAAAATAAAATAAATAACCTGATTAATCGGAATAAAAATTTTGTAATCGAGCACTTGGATTATGCCAGCAATTGACTGATTTTCGATTATAATCGATGATTGGAACACCACTAATAGACCTTGACTAATTATGGGAATATTTGCTTATAATGAAGCAGTGCATATAATCCCAATCCAAAACTTGATACAAGATTCCTAAATATATACAATAAATAAAGTTTTAATTTAAAGCTGAACACGACTCGTAAATATGCATAGGCCATATTAGTTTTCCTATCTCCTATATCAGCACTGGGGTATATAAACCCTTTGCATTTGTTACCTGATTGCTTTTAGCTGGTTGCTGCAGCATGTAGTACATGTATATCTTATGCTGTTCCTTTTGTTTGCATTTTATTTCACTGAATGTGCTTTCTGTTTATTTCACTTTTTCATGATTGTAATGCATTGACTTGTGCAACTGTTACTGAATATCTTTCTTAACTTTTTTTTCCCGATGTGGCAGAGGCTTACAGAGGTTATTTTTGTCCCGCCAAAGTATATCACAATGACAAAGATGGAGACATGTGCTCAGGTGAAATCTGTGAAGACAAATGCATTGAATCGTGAACAAGGCTGAGGCTTATACATGTATAGGGGCTGGAGAAGGACAGTCTAGAGAAGAAAAATATACTGACAACTCTTCCTTTTACGAATCGTGCTCAGCTTTAAGTTACCAGTAATAGCAAAAATAAATTTGAATTTTTTTGCCATAATTTTCCTATAGGTTTTTAGTCTAAGGTAATAGGGCCTACATTCTTCAATTCAATGAACTCAAACATTCTGTTCACAAGGTGTCTGTGTCATATTTACATGGTAAGAAATAAACACTGGTGCATTATTTCAGTGTTTTATCATCTCTTTTAAAATGGCATTGAATAGTATTCATTTTTGATAAATTATTAGTATGATCTACGTCCTATACCATGACAAAGCATTTAACTAGCCATTTAAAAATATCTTTAAGTGCTTTTCTTACACTTTTAGTAAGTGCCATGGTAGACGAAAAATATATATTAAAAAAAATCAAGAAAAAATTACAGAGGTTTTAGAAAATTTGCCTGTTTACCTTGAGAATATCTCTTTTACCAGAGGAACTAGCAAAATTACTTTTTTAAAGGATTATCTTGGAACATTTTCTGTACAAGCATAAAAAATGCATTTTTATTTGCCAATGACCAACTTCATTAGACTGTTTTATAGTCTGCCCCACATAAGGGCTTCCACCACATTTTAAATACTATGAAATAAATTTTGATTTGTTTTCAGAGAAAATATGATTAAACATTAAAGCTTAATCATTTCCAAACCAGGTTTTAGCAAAATGGTTATTTACAACTGAGTACAATGATCGACAGCGGCTGCCACTTTCTGTTTTAAATATTGACATTATACAGTGTTTTTGTAAATTTTCTTTAACAAATTAGCAGAAAGTGGCGGCCGCTGTCGGCCATCGTAACATGGTACATGTATGAAACGATTTTTGAAAGTCTACACTGAGATACTCCATTTAAATTTTGAATTGGTCATTGCTACCAAGCGTATATTTCCATAAATTATCTGAGAGTGAGATTTAAATTGTTTCTAAATGTGTACCACATGTACATCATTATGCTATTGACATCCAGTATCTGATAATCATGAATAATAATGGATTTCTTTTCTGAAGTAGCTGCCATTTTAGCTACTTTAAATCCTCATAGACTTTGAATTTCCTTCCATGTCAGTATACCAGTTGAACCCTATGCTAGCTTCCTATCAAAGCAAAAAGTTTGGGGAAAAATTATATCTGTTGTCAAATTGAACTTAATTTGAAAGCCTGTATATTTATGTATTTTGAGAATAGAGATTTAATATTGCAAAAAGTGGATGATCTTGGTACCATGGGACAGACTATAACTTATATAAAGTTAAACTGTATGCACAACAATATCATTTTATATTTATCACGCAAAAGCTCTTTAAAATACCAGAGTCCCTGCAAAATTTATCTGAGATATATGAGTTGTAAATAATTAATGCACATTCATGGATGAACTGAATAATATGTAGGGTGTAACTTCATGTATTACAAAATATTTGAAACTGCATGTGGATAGAAAATTGGATGTGTCTATAGGGTAGAAAAATAATGTGATTCATTTACCGGTATGCTGATTTTACCTATTAGCATGCATTGTCCTAATAAATATACCCTTCTTGATTTTAGCTTCAAGTAAAACAGTATAGGTAATTATAAGTTACAAGACAGCTATCATCTACCACAGAAGAGCTAGCTTCCTGTACAATTAGTGTATTTTAGTCAGAAAACTATATCCTGTACAATATAGTGACAACTAGCTCTGTTTATTTTTTTTTATTCAAAAGATCAGTTCAAAAATATACATGTATTATCTAAATAAAATTTCTTTCAATTTATCCTGGAAGCCATTTTATTACCTAAAAGACCTTTGTTCATTTTCACCCAACGGACAACACAAACGGCATCTTCATGGTTGGCTGGCCATTTATGTTCTGGAGCAAGACGATATTCTACATTGACCACCACACAAGGGGCATCTCTGCAAAATAAAAGAGAGATTACCTGACCATCAATAAAATAAAAGGGGCAATCCAATAAATATTACATGAAAAACATTTCAAACCATATGGACTGACATGATTTCTATGATGTTGAAAGAAAAGTAAAATACTCAAGCTTATAAAAGCAACTTTAAATTCTCTTTCTTTATTAGGCAGGCTTGCAAACAATAAAATACTGTATTCATCTCTTTAATCACTGTGTGATACTGAATGATCCTAAAAGCACATATCCTGTCATTTTTAATCTACAAAGAGTTCAAGCACCTTTTATAAATTCTTTTGATCGAGTTAAAAATTCACAGGAACATGCATGCAGTGTAACACGATGCACGACAACAGACAAAAACTGATAGCAATAGGTCTCCTGAGTGACTCAGGTGACCTAAAAATAAATGGCAAATTAATATTTTATTAACCCCTGGGTTTCATAACTACATGGTAGTAATTAAATAGATAAATAATATTGTTTACTCAGTATAGATTGTACTTTAAATATTTAAATAAATCTCAGCCTCCTAAATCGGGAATATAATAATTTTTTAACTAAATTAATAATCCGGCCCCCCTAAAATAAAAAATCACATCACTAACACAACTTGGACCAAAATCTTGACGTTAAATCGTGGTAAATCTCACCCAATAGTTTATACAGACTAATTTGTATTTAAGATAGAAATTTAAAGGTCACATAAAAAGAATTAAATCTCAGTGGAGAGATAAATTATGTAATTTTATTAAATAATTAGTTGTAAAGTTCAAATTTGGCCCATATTAACCTTGACCAAACTGCCCTGATGACAGCTTAAGGTACCGACTCTTAGGTAAGACTGATGAACAATAAAGAATACTTCACATTTGTAGCATTGAACACACTTGCTGTAAACAAATGTCAGTGAACCCACTGGTGGCTGGCTGATATGCTAGATGATAACCAATGCTGTTTTTTTTATTGTGAAAAATGTAAACCATGTCAATTGCTCTGCAGTATATCAACTCCGCCAATGGATATGGATGTTTACAAATAAAAACACAAACGTCACGTCAGAAACAATAAAACATTACAAATATTTGTTATATGGAAGTTTGGCAGTCGGAACTAATGAACAAATTCCTCACACAAGAGCTGAGTAACATAAAAGCTGTAGAGACTACTGTGGAGATATCTCTATTTTGGTAAACACCAAGTTTTCTTATCTTTCAATCATCATCAATGCAAAGATTTAAACAAGTTAAACATTGAGGCTACACATATAAACAAAATAAAGAACACCTTTCAATGAAGTAAAAGAAATTTTGATAGAAGTAGAAATGAAATAAATTGAAGCTTTTTATCAAGAAGGAGCAAGGAATGGTTCAATGAATTGTGGAAGTTTCATGCACTGCGCATTAAATTATGAACATGACAAATAAATGATTCTTAACATGATATTTTATTTTCACACTCAAAATTATTTGCATAATTTTTGATTAATTTCTTTGGCAGGGGCACTCTTTGAGTCCCTGAATTAATTGTATAATACTTTGAATCTGCAGGACCATGGAAGTACTAATTAAAAAGACATATTTTAAGACATATTTAATTGGCAGGGGCACTCTTTGAGTCCCTGAATTAATCGTATAATATACTTTGAATCTGCAGGACCATGGAAGTACTAATTAAAAGACATATTTTAATTGGCACAGGGCTACAGATAGCATTGGAAAAAACTATATTAAAAAATCTTAAATGAATTAGTACAATTTCCTTGATGGTTTGACCTTTCATATGGTTGTGGTATTTGCTTGCATGTAAATTTTTGTCACATTAACCTTTCAAACAGTGTGACAAGTACTGAATATTTCTTGTCCAAGCATGATTATTGTTTAAGCATTAATTTCATCAAATTTAATTAAAGCAAAGAGCATCTTCTTTTGGCCAACAGTTAGAATGCTTCTTTCACCCTAATTGTCAGCAATACTTATATTCCAAATTATTCATGAAAATGTCTTTACAAATCAGGGTTCGAAATTCACTATATACATCTCGCAAAATGCGAGTTAGTATTCCCAAATTGCGAGTTAAAAATTAGGTAACTCGCAAAAACTTGCGAGGTGATTTTTTTTGCATTGAAACTGTAGCAAAATTATATAATATGACAGAACACAATGCTTTTGATTTAAATCAGTAATTTAAATAAAAGTCACACTGTAGTTGTATTTTGTGTATTGTACAGTAGTTACTTTTTCCTTAAGTTACATGTATTTAATTTATTTAAATTTAACTTTATATGAAAACTGCGAGTAGTCTTATAAAATTGCGAGTTCACTTTCTTGGTACTCGCAATTATTTGCGAGTTGTTATTTCAGGGAGTTTCTAACCCTGACAAATGCATGTATGGGCATGTAAACACTTTCATAACTCAGACTGACTATTAGGCTTTTCAATTACAGTTGAACTTTGGTATCTCGAACACTGATATCTCAAATACCATGGATAGGTCGAAGTGATTTAATTGAAAGTCCCCAACCACTTATACCCTTGATATCTTAAATCTTCAGATATCTCAAAGTTTTTTCTCACTCCTATTGAATTCAGGATAACTATGTCTGACTATATATTGTATGACTGATGTTTTCTGTTGTCCTACCTTTTGTTTAATCAAAATTGCAAAATAGTCATATCCAAAATTGTCACACATCTTTTGAATACTACCAGTGCTGCTCTAAATATATTGAATGTTCTGATTGAAAGGAAAAAAAATTAATTCAAACAGCATTTGATTGCTTGCTCACATACTATTCAGTAAATTGCAACTTTATAGATCAGCTTCCTGAAACCAGCATAAGAATTAATATTAAAATTAACAGAGTGGAAGTAAAGTTCAATATTCAGTAATTACGTTGGCTGTCAGTCCAGCTGACAAAAACTTAATTGCTTCTTTCATTTGACAATCCTTATTTGACTGATCAAAGGTGAGTGGAGTTATTAGGTTCTACTGGTTTAATGTACTTTCACATCATTCGGTTGATAAAGCAACCAAAAAAAAGAAAAAAAAGAAAAAAACTGATTTACTTGTATTCATACCTGGAGAAAATTCTGCAGATAATGTCCACGGTTTGTCTACATCCCACTACGTTCCCCCCTCCATGGAAATATACAAACACAGAGGGAGCCACACACAGGTCACATTGCTTAGATCTGTACACTGTGATTGGTATTCCTGAAAATAAGATGTCTATAATAAGTAAAATGTTCTAGAAGGTAATTGGCAATTCAAATGCTTTAAACAATTACGTGTGCAATGATTATCTCATACCTAAACATATTCTCATTAAAAAAGAAAAAGAAAAGACTCAAACAATATTACTGAAAAAAGTATCTAATAAAATACACAGAACATTTCATATTCTATTGAAGGTTCCTTAATTATCATTAGGGAAAATGGAAATGACTTTAAAGAACAAATTTATTAACCGTAAGCAATGTTTTATATCAAGAAATCAAACTAGGTAGCTTAATTATTATTCAACATAATAAGCGAAGAGGATGCTCATTACAGAATCATAAAGGATGAAAAACCCTTTTTATCAGACCCTCACATATGTAAGTAAATGATGCATCAATTGAAGAACATTCAACTATTACTAACTAAGCATTTGCAAGCAGGCAAATGGTATCATAGTCTTGAACTGTCAGGTGTAAACATATACTACCAATACCTAATACATGGCCACGCCTACTTACAAATAAAAACATTAATCATAAAGAAAACAGGCTAAGTAATGAATGTTTATCAGTACGTCGATAGGAAAACAAAACATGCATGCTATTTAAAAATAAAAATTCATATGTAATGCATAAATTAAATGAAATTCCATTTTTAAGACAGGTCGCTGAGAACTTACCATCACTGCACTGTTTTGATGGAACTGTGAATTCTTTCACGGTGCCTTCAAATTCCGTCGTGCCAGCAAACCTTTTGGCGTTCGCAATATTACCCTCCCTAGCTTCCTCTACCGTTAGTTGATCATAGGGTTTCGCTCCGACTTCAGCTCTTATTTTGAAATAATTCTCCGTTTCCGCATGTATTTTATACTTTGGTTTAAATTTATCAAAAGACATTGTGTTTGAGGACTGACTGCCTCTTTGCTGCACAGATCGATAGTTTCTGCAAATCTGTGAGAGCTACTTCCGCTATTACTTTTACTTAAGGGAAAGTCTCAAAATGTGAATCTTATAGGTGAAGTGATATTGATGCTTCTGGATAAATTATGTATATATATTACTATCATATGTATAACTAGTATGATTTTAAACTGTTTTAATCTTTAAGAACAGTACTTAAAGGAATATCTCACTAAGGACTAACGACTAAATTTTACGAATTTAAAGATACTCCCTAATTTGAGCTCCTAATTTTATTACTTTCACTTTCACTCATAATAGACGATGGACGTGGTAGTTGTGGGTAGCTGCAATATAGATCTTGTGAGGCAAGTAGCCTTATTTGTGCATTAATATGTATAGTGTTAAGTTTTTGTAAATCATCTGATTAAAGTTAGGAAAGGGTTGGCAGAATTGTAAACTGAATTCCCCACTCCACCCCCTGGCCGGATTGCTACTTCTAGTTCTAACCAGAACCATCATCCCATGGTCTTTAATACACATTTTTCCGCAATCAGAATTCTCCTAACAAATTTTACCTACGATGTGTATTAATTATTGTCCACGTTAATCATTGCCACCGCCTCTGTCAGTGCAGCGCGTTATCCTACAGTATAAATATAGGATCTCCCATGATTTGTAGTTGGATAAGATTTTTATCTAACGAGTTGTGTGTTTTTTATCCCCGAGCCTTGGCGAGGGGATAAAAACACACAACGAGTTGGATAAAAGTCATATCCAACTACAAATCATGGGAGATTCTTTTTATCCCCATGTTTAATACTTCACAACCAAATGTTTTACAGTTTTATATAGGACTCCACTTTTACTTCATTACTCTAACGCAAAAACCATTGTGACGTCACAACTGCACTTAACTGTGGGTTATGAAAAAAATATCCAATGAGTCATATCCACGGGACAAAGGGGTAAACATGGGATAAAACTAGAAAATCTACATCGAAACTTTGTATGCCAAAACTAAACGGAAATTTCCATTCAAATGGTCGTTTTTGCCTTACTGCAAAAACAATTATTAATGTGTTTCAGAACAAATAATTGACATATTATACTGATCTTTAAAATTAAACATGAAGTTGAAGTCTTAATTACTACTTGTTAAAATATGCATCTGCAGCTATGTTCCAAGACTGCCAGCAGCAGGGGAGACAATACTTGGAAGCAAATTTTCCCAGGGCTTTGGTGGTAAAGGTGCCAACCCTGCTGTGATGTCTGCCAGACTTGGTGCTAAAACTGCTCTCATTAGTATGGTATGCTACTTTTACTTGCTTATTAATTTATCTCTTTCTTACAACATCAGGGGTCCTGTGGCAATTCGTTGCCCCTTGACAAATTTCATTCAATATCTTACAGGCTGACCGCAGTGACATCTTTCAGGAAAATTACAAATCTTGTAAGCTCTACTGGTCAGAGACCAGAAGAGCTTATGCGATAGTAAGGTGTCCGTCGTCCATCCGTCTGTCGAGCTGTCTGTCTGTCCGTCCGTCTGTAAACAATTTTTCAAAACGATACTCCTCCTACAGTTCTGATCTGATTCCGATATAACTTGGCACACAAGTAGCCTACACTAAGATACGTAATTCTATATATCGATTTTTGATTTCGATGAATGGTGTTGTCATGGTTACTAAAAATAGAGATTTCTGATAAGTAATTGCAAAACGCTACTTCTCCTACAGTTTTGGTCTGATTTCAATATAACTTAGCACACAAGCAGACAACACTAAGATACATAATTTTGTGTATCGGTTTTTGATTTCGATGAATGATGTTGCAATGGTTACTAAAAATAGAAATTTCCTTGAAATACTTTCAAAATATTACTTTTCCTACAGTTTTGATCTGATTTCGGTATAACTTGGCACACAGTTAGACTACACTAAGATACATAATTGTCTTTATTTTTTTTTTCATTTTATTGAATGATGTTGCCATGGTTACTAAAATCGAAATTTCTGTAAGATTCTTTTAAAAGGCTACTCCGTTTTACAGCTATGAGGATTGCAATAAATCTTGCCACAAAAAGAGACTAAACCAGGGATCATTTTTCTATTTATTGCTGTTGCAAAGTTTCAAGTTCAAGTGCTGCTTTTATCTTCCTTGTTATAAGTACAAACCAGTAGAGCTACAGTCTCATCAGAGACTTCTGGTTTTTCTTATCAACCAATCACATTAAGCCTTTCCTCGATAAATAATGTGTCATGCTTTCATTTTAGATGTCAATTGATTCCTTTCTGCTTACATTATCTGTCTACTTCAATTATTTGATTGGTGCTTCTCAATGAGAGAAGCAAGCCCCCCCCCCCCCCCCCCCAATAAATGAATGAAGTTTGTCAGTGGTCCCATGGCAACAAGTTGACGCAAGACCCCTGACATTGTGAGGATGAGTCTACCTATCTTTGTCACATACAGTATGATTATAATACTATGTTCTTCAACATACTTGACGATAAAAATATGTTTGTTAACACTCAAATGCATTAGGAATCTATATAACATAATAGAAAAAGGTATATTACATGTTAGGATGTGTTCACATTTACTATCAAGATAGATATAACAGTTGGATTCTTTTCATCAATAACCCATGGCTACATGTACATGTGTACTTTAACTGTTGATGAATTTCTAATTTGTATTTTAGGTTGGAGAAGATTCCTTTGGGAGAGAGTACAAGTTGGATCTCATCAAAAACAATATTGATATCAGCCATGTTGGTACCACATCCAAGGCAGCCACAGGAGTGGCTCCTATCTTTGTCAATGAAAGTGGTAAGCTTTGTTAGCTACTATTTCACAATTTCATCAACAATATAATGGTGATACTCATTTGTTCACTTGCATGGAATCTTTGATTATACAACCACAATGTAAAGATTCAGCAATTAAAGTGGAAAGTTAAAGAAATTTACTTATATGTGAAAGAGCATGAGATTTTAATATTTTGTTTTGCAGGTGAAAATTCAATAGTGGTTGTGAAAGGAGCCAATGATTATGTAACAATGGAAAACTTAATGGCAGCTAAAGATTTAATACAAAATTCTAAAATCCTTTTGTGCAATCTAGAAATTGATCCCAAAGTGACCTTAGAAGCTCTTAAAATGGCACAATCATTTAAAAGTAAGCAAATTATTTTCCTGAGTTTTCTCCCTTGAGCACATTTTTCTTTTGATGGAAATAATGTACAGACTGAATCATTTTAACAAAAATGAATTTCTCATTGAGGAATTATTTAACAGCATTCTTATAGTCTGTTCTTAACAATTCAAAACATCTAATTTGTTACACTTAAATCATATTTTACACATTTTGTTTTGAATAATTCCAGTAAGAAGTTTATTCAATATGGCACCAGCAACAACAGGTCTGGATGAGTACTTCCAGTACTGTGATATTCTTGTTGTCAACGAGTCGGAGGTAAGGTATCAAAAAACCAAACCTCTCCCTGAAATGGTATATAATACTGACTGAACAGATTTAACCCCCCCCCTTCCCCGCACAAAAAAGTTCTAAGAATATCCTGTACTTAATTACTTTTTGAGATGATTGAAGTCTATAATGCACTTATCCTGAAATAAATAAAAGTACTGTGCATGTAGCTGAAGATTTTTTTTTTTTTGAATAAGTGAATATCGTAATCAGGACATTATCATTAATATGTAATTGGAACAAAAGAACTACATCAAGAAAACCTGTAAAAATTAAAGAAGGAGTGCTTCAGTGTTACTAGGATCAGTATTGTTAAAATACTTCATCTTATAAATCCTTTTTTAAAAACACACTTATTTCTTCAGGCAGAAATAATCACAGGACTGAAAGTACCTGGAGTCCAAGAGGCCAAATCTGCAGCTGAGTCCATTCTGAAGAAAGGTTGTCAAGTAGTTATTGTGACTCTGGGAGAAAATGGTGCTGTTGTGATGAGCAAGGGGGACAAGGAGGCTGTCCACATTCCTTCTCCTCAAGTCCAAGCAGTGGACACCACAGTAAGATCTAAAATATGGCTAATCTCCGAGTCTTGTTGTCCAAGTGTGAAGTTTATGACTTAAGATTTTTTCCAAGTTTTATAAAGAACATTTAAAGATAACAAACTGCCTGACAGCAGGAAAATATTAACATTTTAAATATGTTGATACATGTACCAGGAAATTGCATTTTTAACAGCAGTTAAATATTTGCACATGAGACTTATAATGATAATGAAAGTTGGTCAGGATAAATAATACTGTGTATAAATTAGAAATAGACCACAAAAGGTAAACAGTGTATATCAACTTGAACTTTGACACAATCAACCACTTTTACTGCAATATAAGGAAGATATCTGGAACAATTTTTTGAAGTTTAAATCAATATCATATCTTGCAGGGAGCTGGAGATGCATTTTGTGGTTCTTTAGCAGTGTTCCTTGCCACCAAACCAGAGTTAGGACTTACAGAGTCAGTTTATAGAGCTAATAGGATTGCAGGAATTACTGTCCAGTCCCCAGGAACACAGACCAGTTACCCCCAGTGGAAGGACCTCCCCCCTGAACTGTTCGGGGGAGAGAAGTTACTGAAGGATGTTTAAACAATTAAAGAATATGAAATTATGCATGTGCATTATTCATATAACTGCTAATTAAAGAAACTGAGAAATCATTTTATAGAGTTCATATTTTAGGATGATATTTTGTTGATAATTTTTTAATTTCTGTAAATGATATTGATTACATGCATCAGCATTATACAGCATTTCCTGTGATTTTGTGTTCATTAGAAACTTGATTTCCTATAATTTAGGTAGTCAGTTTTGATTTTACTGCAAGACATAGATTTATTCCTCCAAAAAAATTGTATTTACCGGTATATATATTTATTCATACATATGATTTTATAAAAATAAATCAAGAGCAAATGTTAATCTTTTGTATTAATGACCTTGACCTCAATCATACATAAATTTGACCGGTCATTTAATGAATGGCATAGCTTTTTTGTTCCTGATGAAGTATATTTCGACATCAAACTGTAATCCAATATTGGAGTGCCATCTTGTTCCAGGACTTGAACAGACTTAAATTTACATCGAATGAGGATGCTTGCATGTTGAGGGACAAAGTACATGATAAAGTTCATGATTATACTTTTACTGAATTCTTCCTACACATGTTCATGATTTTGGACCACTAATTGAAATTAGTTTCTGGGGTGCTTTTACTTAAGCAGCTATATCGGCATTCCATGAGAATGCTTAATGCACCATAAAAAAATGAACTACAGTTAAAACTTCCATATCTCTAACTTTGATATCTCGAATACCATGGATATGTCAAAATGAATTGGATGTCACAGCCATTCTTTCTTTCTTTAACCTCAATATCTTAAATCCTCTAATATCTCTATTTTTTTGGGGGGGGGGGGGGGTCCCCATTAAATTAGAGATAAAAAAGTTTAACTCTTATATTGAAAAATGTAAACAACTCTTTCATGTACATGTATTATCATTTTTATTGAAAACAACAATGGACAACACACATTTTTATTCCTTTTTCTTTTTCCCGGCCTGATCCCGGTGAATTCTCTCCTCCCTTGATGGTTCCAGTCCACACAATCTCCTCTCTCTCTGGGCCTCATCCTGTCCTCTACGCCTCTCCGCTGTATCAAGCTTCCTCCTATATGAAGTTAAACCAAGTCTTTCCCACACTGGCCTTATTTTAGGCTTGATCCAATGAAGTTTGCCTTTGGTATAAAGAGTATCTAAATCATACACATCCCTTTCACTCCCATAGTATTTCTCTTGAACTTTGCCATCCTCTGGGGATGCTATCACAACTGGGATCTGGTTTCGTTCATCGCTGAGTTCTACGACATGCATATTGGTTCTGTTGGCTAATTCCTGGTGTGTTTCCTGATAAGAAAGTAATACAATATAAAGCAAAACTTTTGCTACACATTTACCATTACTCATTGCTGGATCATATTGAATAGGAACTCTAGTTTCCGAGATATTGCCATCCAGTTTTTAGGGCCTACTATATAATACTATATGGATAAACATCGGGCTCGGGGACATCGAAGTCCCCTGTCCCGGGGTCTGAAATTTTGAGGGTAAACATAAATGTACTTCATGTGATCATGATAGAGGCACAAGCTCAACAATATTACAAGGAGATAACAGATCTTGGCAAAAAAAAAAAAAATAGTGGAAATATGCCAATTACCTTTTTAAAAAGTAGTTATGTCATTTAGCAATAAAAGTTTTACTAATGTAAAATATTTCAAAACATGATTTTACAAAACAAATGATCATGAATGGTAACAAAAATGTTGATCTTCAATGAATCATCTCAAATTGAGAAGTGATAAAATTTACAATCAACATTACTCCACTTTTCTTTAGAGTTGGTACCTGGTGTGTCACTGCATTGAAAAAAGCTGTTGTCATTGTGATGGCATTTTTTGTGTTGCCTTCAGTCTTGACGTATATATCTTTAATCCCAGACAACAAACACAGGTCTTTAATCACTCTATGAGCCACCACACCATATCCTGAAATAGAAATAAATTTCATATTTATTGCCTGGTGAGCAGGATAAAAATTGAGTGAAATGTATATTTAATATTTATTTTTTAAAGAATGAACACATGCACCTATTAAACAAAAGTCCCATAGACCTTCAAAGTTATCCAAGTATCAAATGTATTTAACGTAATCTGAGGAAATGTCATATACGCAAGCTTCTCAAAATGCTGTGTTGTTGTGACATGTATGGTTACAATAAACAAAATGATTTTCCTCTCAGTAATGATTAAAAAAAAGAGTATTACATGTTCACAATTAATCCTTGTTACCTAGAGAAATTTTGCAGTCAGTTATGAGCTTTAGTTTTCTTCTATATAAATACAAGTAAGTTATAGTTATGGCCCTGAGAAAAATTTAATATTAATCCATCCAGTGACCATGATCATGTCTAAAGCACCTACTGCCAGATTCGTCAGCAACATCTGTGTATGATAACACTTATCTCCCTTTTATTTTTCTTTACAGAAATTTGTCATATGAAGATACTGATATAACAAACCAATTATCAACTTCTGATTTCGTTTGCACAGAATAGGATTTTAAATATTATTAGTATTAATTATGCCCCCATCATATAGGTTTGTCAAATTTTCGGAAGTGAGACTTCCATTTTTTTATTTCCTACATAAAACTGCAGTTCACAAGAATGCCAGCTTTGGGACTGAATTCCTATTACATGGGACTTGAATTTTTTTAATTTGAGTAGAAAATTCATATTACTCATTATAACCAGGCAAAATAATCAGTTTGTCTGCTAGATGTGCAGGTGTATGATAACGAAAAAAAACCAGAAAATTCTATCACAGTCAACATAACCTGCTTTGATTATCAATGCATGAAGATGGAAGGGAACAGATTGGTGAACTTAGAGACCTAGATGACCTAGAAAAAGACAAACTTATGTCTGTATATATATATATATATATATATATATATATATATATATATATATATATATATATATATATATATATATATATATATATATATTCAGAGTATGTAATGATTTTTTTTACCTTCAAATTTCCTTTTGGCAAACACCTTTGTGCAATGGACTTGAGCATATGTATCATGATATACTGAAATATACACAATACATTACTGTATGTTATATTTTAAAATCTTCTCATTCAAGATAAAGAAAGACATTTCCAAGTCTTTCTACTGAGTCATGAGAGCAAAGAATAAAATATAATCAATCATTTACTGCACTGCAGAAATAAACTGAAATATAAACATTTTCATGTAGGAGTAATATTTGCAAATTCTATGCTTCACAAGACAAATCTCCAAATTAACTCTAACAAAATTGTTTATTATAAATATTATTTGCTACAGACATAATAATTTGTTCCTTTTTTAAATATTATCGCAAAAAAAGTGTATGTAAAATAATTATTGATCTTAAACAAAAGTATATGTAAAATAATAATTGAAAAATATTTATGCTATTAAAAAGTACATGTATTTCATACATGTCACATGAAATAAATAATTAAATATCAGTACTAGTTGCTATAGTGATAAATTTAATTAATGAAATCATAATTTACTTACTTGTATGTTCATTATATCTCTCAATAAACATTAGCTGTTGTCCTGCTTTATCTCGTGCCTAAAGTGTTGTAAAACATTTTGTTTTCTGAGCATAACAAATTTAAATGTACATCTGTATAAATATGCCTATTGAAGAAAGCTCATTTCATAAATTCAAAAGGGTAAATATATGTATGCATTGGTTCTATCAATCTTCCAACAGATAACACATGCAGTAATAGATAGTTTTCAATAGAGAAGATTTTAGCAAGAATTATTTCCCATTGGTCACCATATTGGAAGTCAACAAGCCCCGACTCCTTAATTATTCAACCAATCTAAAATTGTCCTATTAGGCACTGAGGTATAACACGGTTTCTCTGATGACAGCCTCCTTAAATTAGTAATTGTAATACTGTAAAGATTTTTCCCCATATATTTCTTCCATGCATGTTTAAAATTAGTTCCTCAAAAATTCACCAGTTTGACCTCCAAGATTGCAGCCAAGAGAAATAACTCAGAAGGAAAAATATGTCATAAGAAAACTAGCTATCTACCGTATATTAATATTTGTAGTATACATACCTTATAGCCAGCAGCCTTTTGAAAGTTTGCTTTAGCAACAGCAAAACCTGCAAATATTTAATAATTCAAGGTAACATTTCTTTCTCAACTAAAGATATTCTTATATATTAAAGACATGTACCTGTATCACTCAAAAGACGAAGTTCTTTTTTCTTTCTTTTTTATTCTTAAAAAAGCTACCAAAAGTGATGAGCAAACACACTACAAATAACAAGAAGCCCAATGGCTGAAACACTCACCTGTGTAACTTTAACCCTGCTATTCTTAAGAAAATTTTTAAAAGATTTTTCTTTTTCATATTCCCATGAAAAGTTGTGACCCTACATAATGGCCCCACCTACCGGTAACTCTAGGAGTTCTAAGGCGGCATGCCTTGAAAATTGAGAATCTACATTATATCAGGAAGCTTTCACATAGGTTTCATCTTTTAAGGTCAAGTGGTTCTTCAGAAAAAGATTTTTTTTTTAAATCCTATTTATTCGAAAGTAAAAGTTTGATCCCCTATTATAGCCCCACCCTACCCCAGGGGCCATGATTTGAATAATTTAGAACCCACAGGAAGCTAACGTATAATTTCATCTTTTCTGGTCCTGTGGTTCTTGAGAAAAAAAATTAAGATTTTTTCATAAACATAAATATTTCATTGTAAAAATTTGTTCCTTATGGGGCCCTATCCTACTCCCAGAGGCCTTGATTTGAACAATCTAGAATGTACACTACCTAAGAAAGTTTTCACATAATTTTCAACTTTTCTGGCCCAGTGGTTCTTGAAAAGAGGATTTGTTTTTAATGACCCAACCCTATTTTTGCCTTTTCTTGATAATCTCCTCTTGGAGCAGGACTTGACCATTCATTTGTAGAATTTAGAACCCCCCTTATTCAAGGATGCTTTGTGCCAACTTTTGTTAAAATTGGCCCTGTGATTCTTGAGAAGAAATTTTAAATGTAAAAGGTTTACTGTCAGATGCTGGGAAATGGGTGATCGGAAAAAGCTCAAGCTTTCAGCTCAGGTGAGCTAAAAAGTACATGAAGAACCCCGTCATAGTTACGAGTTGGAATAAGAAATTCTAATGTCTTCTAATTCTTATGTTCCTATAAACTCCCATGCAACCTCATGGGAGGCTTTAATCAATCTTTGTCCGAGTACAAATATAGGCTTCCAAACTCCAACAGTTCCAATGTCATTGCTGAGAAACCAGACATTTCTCCTTACCAATAAAATATAATTTGTTGACCCTGAAGTATCCTTGCAAGAAATCCAGTGAAAGTTTTTAAATCAACACATTGTGGAAATTCAACATCCAAGCAGAAATCATTCCATAATCCCTATGTTATTTTATTCAGACCAAATTCAATAGAAAAAATCAGTTAGTACCCAGTACTGGCCCATTCATGATTTTCAAAGGCCTGGCATACAAATAGTTAAGAACAAACCTGCAAGACCATTTCCATTTCCAACAGCTACCAGAGCTCTGTATGCGAACTTCTTTCCCTGATCTGCTGTAATATTGGTGACTTTCTTAAGCTGAAACAGATTTCAGTCATGTTGAGTGAAACAGTGCATGACATCTAATTAAAGTACTACAGCATCATTAAAGACATAAATAAAGCTAAAATAAAGCTTAAGTTTGCATAATTTTTCAGAGAGTGAGTTTTTTTGATTATCTATAAATCAACATTATAACTGATGCAAAAAAATATAACCTCAGATTAGTAATATACTATAGAAGAATACATGTATTCATAAAAAAAAATAATGTGACAATCAAATAGAAATATGATTCCTCAACCCTGAAAGCTAAAATGGATAAATTGAAATAATTATTTCAAAGAAATTATTCATTCATTCATATGTGCTAATAATCTTCACTGCAATTGTGAGCCCACAACTTTGCTTGAATTACTGACCCAACACTGATCCCAATTTATTTTCATACAACTATCAGAATGAATTTTATAAAAAATTTCAGTTTATGTGGGAAATAGATATCATTTTCAATAAAAGCGTCATGAGGTCAGAAACGTGTACTATAATGTATGCTAGTTATCCAAAAGACATAAGTGAAATTAATAGACTGGAGGATTTTTAAAAAGTAGAAGTCAAGGTCAAGTGGACTGTAGTGCAGGTATTTTTTTTTAAAAAGTCTTATGACAATCAGTGCACATGCTAAACAGCACAGATATATACTTGGAAGGTAAAAAAATATTTGTTCAAAATGCACTATGGTGTATTTTGAACAATACAAAAATGTAAGTCAAATGTCAAGTTCAAAGGTCACGAGGTTGGTGACCCTTATAATTTGCAAAAAGCTATTGTTGCAAGCAATACATGAGCAAAATATCAAATCTCCACATCTTGCCATTTTCCAGATATAGGGTGTGACAGATGGACAGACAGACAGAGGCTTGGCATAGTGATCCTTTAAGTGTCATTCTGCTCTGCAGGCAACACAAAAAAGAGTGTTTAATAAAAGTAATATAACCTGCCAACATGAGAGATTTTTTATTTTCCTTTGTAAGATGAACTATAAAACTTCTCTCCTTAAATCTCTTATTTCCCCCTCTCCAGTGCCTGGGAAGGTCAAGCAACAGGTGGGGCCAATGGCCCCACTGTTCATAAAATGATGGGGCCATTTTGAAATTTAAGGGGCCGAGGAGAAATATATTGGGGCCATTCTAAAATAAATCATAGTATGATGCTATATGATAATGCATATATCTCTGACAACAAAATTTAGGAAAATTAAAAAGAAAAATGCGATAGGAATTTACAAGTCATATGATATTGACTAGTGCAAATGATTTTTCCGTTTCTAAGAACTTGAATCAGTCAATCGTCATCTACATTCTATCAACTATAATTTAGAAAAAATATATTATATGAAACCAAAAGCACCATTTTTAACGATGCCGATTTACTAGAGATCATGGAACAAGCCAAAATAAGTGGATTTCGTTGAAAAGGTTTTTTATTGTAAGGTATATAAATTTTCCATGTCCGTGACTTTCGTAAAGCTGTGGTCAACCATCGAAAACGACTTGACACTTACGAATCGAATGACATGAAAAAAAAAAACTGTTTCTTTGCCAGTGGATGTCAATATGCCGAATGATGGTTCCGATTACATTATATACATGTATTACATCACAGATTCCGTATAACTTCGATAAGAATACAGATAACGCGGACTGCGATGAACTTGCAAAGTAATAAACCATGCATACCCGCATTTTGCGGGGTGCGCCGCATGGCGCTGCGGACCATTATTTCATTGCGCCATTTTTCGACAGTATGCGCATATGGCGCATGGCGCAGCCCCTTCCCAGGCCCTGCCTCTCTGGAGCATAGGCCTTTACATGTACATGTATTTTAATGTACAAATTCTCTATCTAATGAGCTTACTAATACTAAATTTAATTGAACAACTCTTACAATTTGAAAAGTAGTCTTGGAGCAGAAATCAAAAATTGTAAACATGGCAAAAGGACAATATGTAGACAGACCATAGGAGACAAAGTTTAATTTTAAAAATAATTAATCTACATTATGTTGTAAACTTACTTGTAGTAGCCTTGAATCAAAGCCATCAAATTTTTCTGGAATTATAAAAACAACTCAAGTTATAAACCTTGAAATCCATGACAAAGACAAATTCTTAATAAATCTGTACATAGTAGAGGTATTTCCACTGGTTCTGGTTTACCATGTGTACAAGTCTTGTTTGACATCAACAAAAGTAAACACTATCAAACAAAAGTTACTGTAGCTTATTATACATGTGATCACAAAAGTTAGTGTTTAATTTATGATCATCTCCTAAATATGCATAGGGTGAGTTCAACATGCATTTTACACACATACCTTGATTCCGACAACTTTATTCAATAAACTAGCATCCCATCTGAATGTTTTCCCGTTTTGACTTGTTTTTATCATAAAGCCAAAAGATTAAAACTTTTTAATGATGCTGATTTTTATTATCATGTGGTTATAAAAATACCACAGAATGGCCTTGAAGTGACATTATATTTGACATCTTCAAAAGGTGAGTCACCAGCAAGATTTTATGATTTTGCAAATTTTCAGAGTTGTCTTTCTTTCATTAGAGCTGTGTTAATGATTGATTATGTTATAGAAAATTTCAAGAAATGTTAGCTCAAAGTGTGCATTATATTTCTTAGAGTTGTTTTTACTAGCATGTCCATTTCACCATGCATCAGACACAAACTATAACCAAGAATCACACACTGTCCGATGCTTGGTTAATTTATTTCTTTTTACTTAGTGATACATGTATAATACCAAACTGAAAGCTGTTTTTTTTTCCCAGAAATAAAAAACATAAACTCAACACATTCAATAACAAGAGGCCCACGGGCCTTATAGGTCACCTGAGTATCATGCAACAACTTCGCCACATTGGATTCATGTTTTAAACCAGAGGCCATGAAATTCACAATTTCGAAAGAGGCACACTTGCTCATCATAATTTTACATTTAGTAAGCTTACTTAATACCCAGAAAGAGAGCAGAGGATTATCAAAGAATTAATGCATTTTCACTATGTAATCATTAGAGCCCTGCCCTAACACCAGAACCATGATGCAGGGGCCATAAAATTCACAATTTTGGAAGAGGCATCCTTACATATCATAACAATACTCTTAGTTCATCAGCTAAATACCCAGGAGAAAAGAAGAAGATTTTCAAAGAATTATTGCATTTTTACTATGTAATCATTAGAGCCCCACCCTAACACCAGAACCCCTGACCCAGGGGCCATGAAATTCATAATTTTGGAAGAGGCACCTTTACTCATCATAACTATGCATCAGTTTGTTTGTTAAATACCCAGGATCAAAGAAAAAGATTTTTAAAGAAATAATGCATTATCACTATATATTCAACAGAGCCCCACCCTAACACCAGAACCCCTGACCTAGGGGCCATGAATTTCACAATTTTGGAACAGGCACCCTTACATATCATAACTATACTCTTAGTTCATCGGCTTATTACCCAGGAGAAAAGGAGAAGATTGTCAAAGAATTATTGCATTTTTACTATGCAATCATTAGAGCCCCGCCCTAAAACAGAACCCCTGACCAGGGGCCATGAAATTCACAACATAGGAATAGGCACCCTTATCCATCATAACTATGCCTTCAGTTTGTTTGCCCTGGATCAGAGAAGATTTTTAAAAGAAATAATGCATTTTCACTATACATGTATATTCAACAGAATGCTGCCCTAACACCAGAACCCCTGACCCTGGGGCCATGAAATTCACAATTTTGGAAGAGGCACCTTTCATCATCATAACTATGTATTTATTTTGTTTTCATAATATCCAAGAGCACAGAAGAAGCTTTTTAAAGAAATAATACATTATCACTATATATTCAACAGAGCCCCACCCTAACACCAGAACCCCTGACCCTTGGGCCAAGAAATTCACAATTTTGGAAGAGGCACTTTTTCTCATCATAACTATGTACTTAGTTCATCGGCTTAATACCCAGGAGCAGAGGAGAAGATTTTTGAATAATTAATGCATTTTCACTATATAATCATTAGATACCCGCCCTAACACCAGAACCCCTGACCCAGGGGCCATGAAATTCACAATTTTAGAAGAGACACCTTTCCTCATCATAACTATGTATATTGTTTGTTTCCTAAATACCCAAGAGCAGAGGAGAAGATTTTTTAAGAATAATGCTTTTCACTACATATTCAACAGAGCCCCACCCTAGCACCAGAACCCCTGACCCTGGGGCCATAAATTTCACAATTTAGGTAGAGGCCTCAATGCTTATTACATTCATGCCAACAGTTTGCCTGCTTGATGCCCAGGAGTAAAGAAGAAGATTTTTAAAGATTGCATTAATTCTGATGGTTTTAGCCCCACCCCTCAGGCCCCAGGGGGGTAGGGGTCATGAATTTCACAATTTTTACTCCCCTTCACATATAGATGCTATGTGCCAAATTTGGTTGAATTTGGTTCAGTGGTTCCAGAGAAGAAGCTGAAAATGTTCAAATGTTAACGCACGACGGACGACGCACGCCGACGGACGAAAACAGATAGCAATAGGTCACCTGAGTAAACTCAGGTGACCTAAAAATACAAGTGATTTGATTTGTGACAACTAGAAGTGGGTTCTCTTATTTCTAAAATTAGAAAATGATAACCCCCTGAAACTGATGCACAGTTGTCAAATGTGAAGAGAGACAGACAAGGCAAGGCCTAAATTAGGTGAAGTGTTGCATCTAAAATCTCTCTACAGATGCGGTTCAAAACATTTTGTCACAAATTCATAATTAAATCACAAAATACGTATCAATTTCCATTTTACTAATATTTGATTGAGTTATCACAGTATGGTGTCCAATGCATGGTGAACTCACCATAACTGTATCTGTAATATGCTACATGTATTTAAAAAGTTGTAGTGCTATTCATGATTGCACCAAGTAATGCATGACCTACAATTGCCAGAAAATTTCTACTGTGTCAAAATACAAAATAATTATACAGTGTTGCAAAACTTACAAAACAGGGGAAAATAATCCTGTTTCACTGAGTCTCAAGATTTCCATTGCTTACCCTCTCTAACAGGAGCTGGTGGCCCTAAACTGGTTCCATGTAAGAAAGCACTGGTGTATCCTCTCAGAAGGGGATTGACATATTTCTGTTTCCTTTGAGATCTTTTTGTAGACCGACGATTTTGTCGTAGATCTTCCAGTAATACATCAAACTCTTCAGCTCGTCTAATACCTGTTGACTTGGCATTTTCTCTGCTGAGAATTCTTGTATTTAATCCAGGAAACTGCAGACCTTCCTTTCCTGTAAGACCAAAATGTTGAAAACCTGACATGTATCAAAAATATCCAACCAAAAGGTGTTGGAAAACTGACTAAGTTAATAGATGTGTGATGATCACTGAGTGAAACAGAGCTTTTATGGATAAATATGTGGGCACTTTGAAAATGACATACATGTACATTAAAAACACAACAATCGTGCCAAAATGTCCATACAAAAAAAAAGGTACACAATGGCATACCTTTTTTATATGCCAGTTAAGTACCTATTTTGTGCCTACTACCAGGTAATTCAGGTACAGAAAAGGCATAGCAATTCTATGACTATAACTAACTTTATTTTTTGTGCCTATTTTTTATAAAAGATATGCATGCCTAGAATCTGTATTTTTTATTTAGTATGGGTGAATGCATCTCTGAAAACTTAACTACTGAAGACTTGTTCAACTTTATCATATTCATGATTTCTTTTTGTGATGTACATGTATTTGCTTTTGATACATAGCTTTTATGTGATCAAAATTTCACATATGGAAAAAGCATTTTGAGAGAATCTCAATCTTAAATTCAAGTCCAATTTATGACTAGAATGATAAGCTAACCCCAAAAATTACTTTCAACTCATTTTTCCCAATTACACAGCAAACTTTACCCTTAAAAGTTTATCCTTATGAAAGTTAAAGAGAGCATTATAGGTCATACAAACCAAAAGACTTACAATTTACCCCCTCAAAAAAATCAATAATAGAATATTTCTGGCTATATTTCATATATCTTTAAATCACCATGGATCTCAATTTCTTCTCAACTTAAAGAAGCTGTGCATAAAAAATTCAAGTATTGAATGAAGGTATGGAATTTTTTACCTGCAACAGACACTTACCATATCCAGGTTTTTGTCCAATATGCAGATTTATTCTTTTCTTTGTTGACTTAGCTCTACCTCGCTTGGCTCCTGCAGCACTAACTGATGTAACACTGCCCCACAAATCGTCATCAGATACTACAAATGGGATACAGATTCTAACTTAAAAAATGCCCTGCTGTTCATACAAAAATAACAAGAGGCCCAAGGGCCTTGAATTGCTCTTCTGATAAACTTTACAACTTACCTATCACTTCTATTTGAAGCCTCTAAGTATCCTGTATATTTAGATAAAGCCTTGAAATTCCAAAGGTAGGTCATCATGACCTACATTTTAGATGAAACACTCTGAGAACCCAAGATGATTCTAAGCCAATTAGTACCTGAGAGTAGGTCACGGTGACCTACTTTTCAGTTGTTGTACTCCGAGGACCCAAGATGCATCAACTGACAAAGTTTGATGATTCTAAGCCAATTAGTATCCGAAATATTAAATTAAAGTCATATAAATTGAAAAGTAGGACACAGTGACCTACTTTTCAGTCGACCTACTCCGAGAACCCAAGATACATCAACTGACAAATTTTGATGATTCTAAGCTAAATAGTACCCAAAATATTAAATACAGCCATAAAATTTCAAAAGTAGGTCAGGGTGACCTACTTTTCAGTTGTCATACTCCATGGACCCAAGATCCATCAACTGACAAAGTTTGATTATTCGGGTACTAAGCCAATTAGTACCCGAAAATGTTCAATTAAAGTCATATAAATTGAAAAGTAGGTCACGGCGACCTACTTTTCGGTTTACGCTTTTCAAGGACCCAAGATGCATCAACTTACAAAGTTTTATGATCATAGGCCTTAAAATGCCTCTAAAATGCTTTGAAATCGAATGCCTGCAAAGTTCAAAAAGTAGGTCACTGTGACCTACCGGTACTTTTTAATAAATATGTTTTATGGCCCCAAGATGCATCATCTTACAAGATTTAATGATTGTAAACCTCTCAGTATTCAAATAAATGACCTTAATTGTTTTGAAACAGATTAGCCATAAAATTCAAAAAGTAGGTCAAGGTGACCTACTTTTTAGTTGACGTACTCCGAGGACCCAAGATACATCAACTGACAAAGTTTGATGATCATAGGCCTTAAATTGTTCAAAATATGCCTCTAAATCATTTTGAAAAAGAATGGCCGCAAAATTTAAAAAGTATGTCACCATGACCTACTTTTTAGTCAACATGATATGAGGTCCTTAGATGCATCAACTGACATGATTTGATGATCCTAGTCCTTATAGTAAACAAAATATCAACATTTGAATAAAATGTAATTTTTGCTCAACTTTGAAGTGACCTTGAGACCACGCCCTTTGCCCCAGGGTGATGCCTTGAACAATTTTTAATCTACAACATATCCTTGTTTCCTTGGATATGTACCCTTGTATATAGATTCCCAAAACTTTTATGATTGATATTTATGAACAACTACCGGTAACCTGACTTTCAATTTTGACTACCACTCAACCTCTAACTGGGTGCAAGAAGCTACCACATGGGGTTTAATATTGCTATAAAGTAAAGAAAATTGAACATTTTCCCTTCTTGGTAACCATAACAACAATTATTTTATTCATCAAACTTTACCAATATATGATATTCAACTTTAGTTTTATCAAATAAGTACTATTCAAGGTGAGTCAAATATGTTTCTTGATTAAAAGGATTCTAAATTCCTAAGCAACAAAAAATACCACTTTAAACCACTGGTACATTGTTTCAATGGTTACACTGCAAAGTAGCAATAAATCCCAATTTTTCTTATGTCATCTGTGTTACAAGGTTCTAGCAATGTACATTTGCCAGTCTTGAATTTCAATGTTTTTCCTCAAGATATTAACATTAACCAAAACTTTGCAACAAATTCTGTATGGTTACACTGTGTTACCATGGCAACCATAAAAGTTATTTTTTAGAAAATTTTCTTGAGTTGTTGATTAAGTTTGACCATGTTACACCTATCATTAGTGAATATTGAACATTTTTCGGCATTTTTCTGCATTTAAAATGTATTCCAAATGTACCCATGGTTACCACTTACTTAGAGTTATATTCTAAATAGTTTCTTTATAGCATAAGTGGCAACAAGGTGTCATGTTTTTGTGAGAATGGTTTGTTTGTTTTTCTTAGTCTTTATTGAGGCTCAATAAAGATTCAAAGTAGCTGAAAATCTCAATTTTTCAAACTTTTCTGGCTGTTACCATGGCAACCAAGACACATAGCAACCAAATTTTATTTGATATATGTTTTTGGTGTCAAGTTGTAATAATGGGCAAAGTTTCATCAAATTCAGTGACCATGTGTGGCAACAAAGTTTAAGAGGTTACAGAGAATAGCTCTTAATTATCGTGTAATTTCGCGAGAAACACCACAAATGAAATAAAATTACTTGCTTTTTATGGTGCTAAAATCCATGTAAAATCCCTTGATCAACTGTCCACTCCCCAAATTCTAGCAATTTGACTTTAAAGAGCCATTTTGCGATAATAATTAAGTACTCGTGAAAAATAAGGAATTTACAGTATATGTGAGATTAAAAATTGACCTTGTTTTTGCTATAAGTGAATGAGGTTCACCCAATTTTTATCAGGCATTGGTAAAAAAAAAAATAACCACTGCACTTTCATATCAGGAAATTACAAAAGTTATCAGTATACTATTGTTAGAGATAAAATTGTGCATCCCTACACAAAACAGTCACCTATTTACAACAGTTAACATTCTTTAATAAATATCCTAATATGTAATAATACACATGCACTTCTTTTCTAATCATGCTCATCTCTTATCTGTTATCTATGAACTCATTTGTGGTACATTTACAGTCTAGACGAACTCCAAAAACAGCGTGAACTCCGAAAATGAAGTCTTTGGCTCCATCATGCATTGCGGCAAAATGGCATCCGATGTAAACAAACGATGGATTGTCGTTCGCTTTCTCTAAATATACGGCTGCATAATGGCTGTATTAAGTGCATTGTTACTTCATTTTATTTTTTGTTGAATGGATAATTGCATTTATTAAATTATCTCGTGAATATTGACTTATTTATTGCTTCCAACTCTTGCATAATAGTGAATAGGATAATATACGACATCGAATTCAATACAGCCGGTAAGAATTATTTTATTATTTGATTTATTGTCTCCTTGATTAAATTTTATGTCGTTCCTACAATAAAAGTGCTTTTATTTGTTTTTGAAGACACCCAGCTTGTATTTATTTTAATCAGAAAATGCGTATTTTTCACCACGGAGCAGAGATATTAACAGGTTCATTTTTAGAAGACATGTTGTGCCCTTAATATCTAGAAGAATATCTGTTCGTATGTGATAAAAAATTGGTAAATAACATTGGTAAGAGCTTACGCGTTCAATTCCGATGTCGTACACAAATAAAAAAACGGAATGCTAATTTATGTGTAAAATTCAGTCAAGTTTTTAACAGTTACAAAATATATGTCCCATTTTGCATATATATCCCTTTTATTATGCATATTTACTTCTCAAAATGTATCATTTTCTCTGTAATTGATCTGACTTGTAACGTTAACTTTGAAAGTAAATATCTCCTTTTTTGCAAATAAAATAAAAAATCTGACAAATACAATCTCTTCCGAAGTCTTTTGTTTAGTATTTCTGAGTACTGGCATAATTGCCATACTTTTCAAAACTTTGCACGAACAGTTTTTGTAGACCCATCATTTTTGCCGAAAAATTGCCATTTTTTGTGTGTGTGCGCATGCGCATACTCTATTTTCGGAGTCTTTCTGAGTCTCAATTTCTTACTTCCGGAAACGCTGTTTTTGGAGTTCGTCTAGACTGATTTATGCTATGGGCTTTGACTTCCAGTATTTGTATACATCTACACAATTCATCTTGTGTTGATAATATTTGCATTTAGTTACTTTAATAAGCAAATTTTAATTGATTTGTGAAAATATTGCAGCATAATTTATCCCGCTATCATTCTCTCTCAGGTCTCAACTGGTTAACTGCAGGACAATATAACTAAAAATAATTGAGGGTTTTGGTTTTTTCTTATAACACTTTGCTCCGTTTTCTGGTGATAGCAGAAATTCCTGATTCAGTCACACAAGTTACTAACAATACTTGGATAAGAGAAAAAGTACTATAGTATACTGAATGAAAAGCATATTAAAAATTAACACTTACCAGTGGTCACGAAACTGTAGTTTCTGGACTGCAGATATGAGAATAGACATAACTGGCCTTGACAGTACTTTGAACATCCTGAAAATAATGACTCATCTTTTTATTGGTATTAAATGATATTCTTTTTTGTATACTGCTATGCTGAAGAACATATGCATATGTACTAATAAAATTAATGAAGGATAAGGCTGTGATCAGAGTTTCTCATACACTGCTTCTCCCATCTAATGAAACAGTTCATTGACTTAATTGTGTAAGCAATTTGTTTGTACACTGTAAAATGAACACGTAAACATGTAAACAAGTTATTGAAAAATGTTTTTTTAAAAATGTATTTTATATCGATTAATTTCAATCAGAAAGTTTATGCTACATCCAGACACGAAACTCATCATAGGCCTCTTTGTAACATTTCTACTGAACGCTAGGGGGAGGCAAAGAACGATAACTCTAAATCAGCAGAAGTTGTGACCTGTTGATATTTATTTGATCGTGAGTTGACAAGTAATACACCGGGTCGCAAATTCTAGTTGTAACACTTCCCTGGTGTATGACACTGTCCGAACAAGGTAAATGTATTTTCTACAGGTTTATAGAAAGCTATTTTTACTAAGATTTAAGCAATTACAACATGAAATGTTAACAAAAAAAAAAAAATTTAAATGCACGTGTTATGAATTCATCAAACAGAAAAAAAATTATTTGCAAAGGTATTTCTGCCTGCTTCAAGTTGCATCACTGATTAAAAGTTGCCAAATATAATTAGATATTTTTATGCAAAATAGCAGTTTGAACAGAGGAAGCAATTTTTGTCACTCATTTTTTAAGTATATTGAAGTGGTGTTTTGGTGTTTGATTACCTCCCTGTTGTTTATAGTATTGTTCTATATACATAACATATTTTCAAGTTAGGTATGTTCTATGCATTTTCATAACTTTAATTAATGGCAACATCTGCTTAAGAATAATATCCAATCTAATTAAAATTAGATGTTCCGAATCCGCTACCGCTTCTCAAACATCTAACAACATCCCATTAGGGGTCACGTCAGAGCGACCTTTCGATTATGAATAAACATAAAAATTTTGGCCAATCAGATTCAACCTTCTGTATACGATTCTAAAATTAGTTCCACGGCTACATCTTTACATTATTGATGCTCAGTAGACTGTTTTACGTTGAATTAAAGTAATTTTGGTATAAATTGAACATATAGTCCGCCAATCTGGCATTCTTACATGAATAATGCAAATGAAAATGCACAAACTACATGTATACATCTATATATCCCACACGTTACATTCATATATTGCACGGTCTTTACCATGCATATTTTGTTTACTACGAAACCCCTCGGGCGTTTATGTGTGGCACCAGGCAGTAAAAAAAGAACGCATCTGAACTATAAGCCAAGATTTCAGAGACGACGATTTCATTGGGTAATCGAAAGGTTGCTCTGACGTGACCCCTAATGGGATGTTGTTAGATGTTGGAGAAGCGGTAGTGGATTCAGAACATCTGATTTTAATTAGATTGGAATAATATCATACATAGTGAATAAGTTTAATTTAAATGCACGACATTTTTTGATGTTCTATGTTATGCTATACTAGTACAATGAAATTGGTTATAGATGGGAGTTATCCTTCCTAACCGAAAATTCATCTTTGCTGTCAGCTTAGATTATTTCCCTTGAGTCACAGATTGCTGTGTGAGGTAGGCAGTACATATAACTTGATTTTATGAAATCTAGAAGGTATTGAAGCAAATTTCATTTAGAATCTACCATTGTATGGAGATAAAATAATGAAAAATGACATTTGACCTTATAATCTTTTATTTTAATTTTTAGGAAGAAGTGCTACTCTTTGAGGAAATTCGGATCACACCAGAACCTTGATTTAGTGTATTTTGCACTATCAGCATTAAGATGAAGAAACTTTTCATAATACTCATAAAATATTTTCATTAACTTACCAGTCAGTTGCAATAAATTCGTCCAATTTATTGCATTTTTAGTAGAATCAAACCCTATTCGAGCCAAAGTCATGCTGCAATATCCGGAAAATCAAAATATCATAGTTTAACTTTTAGTTTTGCGTAGATAAATCGTACGTAAATATATTCGTCTGAATTTTAATATTTTGCACAAGATAGATCGAGATATATTAATTATGTACATCAATTTGTATTTAAAGACATTATCCCTTTCGCAACTGATGATACACCCTTACCCATTGAAATCAAAATAACTCTGATTATAGTTGAGTACAAAACATGGACGGGACACCCCCCCCCCCCCCAGTGTTCCATTCCCCAACTGTTCAACTTTCTTTTTAGATAAAATATTTTTATATGGCATTTACAAAGTATCACAATTGAAAAATCCAAAATATAGTATTAAATTACCTTTTTATAAACAAACATTTTTAGAGAGTGAGAATTTTTATAAAAGCAGGCCCGTAGCAACGGTTTCGAAAGTGGGGTGGGGGGATTTCCCAAAATTATCTGACAAGCAAAAAAAAAACAAAAAAACAACAAAAAAACAACAACAAAAAACAAGCAAACAAACAAAAAAAAAAACAACGCGTTTGTCAGTGCTTGACCTTACATCAAAAAGTCGGGGGGGGGGGGGGGGGGGGGGGGGGGGGCAGCATCTAAAGGAAAATTTACTATAGCATATTACTATAGCAAAATACTACACTCAGAAAAAAGTGGCCCCCCCCTCGCGTTTTACGTGCCTGAAAAGGTTAGTTTTAGGTTATATTTTGGTTTTTTCAATTGAAATATATATTTTGTGGGTGTGTCAAAGAAAATATTTTATTAGAAAAAAAGTCGAAGAACAACGCGGAAGGGGGGTTGGTTCCCGTCCCCAAGCACATATATAGTTAACATGGATATATTTGGGTCTAAAGTAAAAAAATATTTTATTAAAATACTGCATCAACGCAGCTCAGTGTTATCCAAATTGATAATGCACTTACTATCTGCTGTTAGAGATCAAAATGGTTGAACAATTATTTTTCTATTATTTACATAGAAAAGTGATCACGTTAGAACTAGCTGCAGCAGTCAAGAGTTAAACTAGATGCTGTCATGAGACAGTTATACTGTTTGTCTCTAAATGTACAACTACATATGTAGCTGGTCCCTTAATTGCACCAGGGTAGCGAAAAAAAACACGAAAGTTATTCTATAATTAACATAAAATTAATATGGATACATTTATTGTCTCCCGCTTTCGCGAAAGCGAGGAGACATTAAATCTCATTCGTCAGTCTGTCCATCTGTCAGTCTGTCACAAAAAAAAAATTAACCTTGGTCATAACTTTTGAATGAGAATAGACAGGGCTTTCATATTTCACATGTACATTACCTGTGACAAGACCTTTCCAAATATACTATGAATTTTGACCCCGTGACCTTGAAATTTGACCCACTTTTCAAAAATGTGAACATTACATTAAATTGGTCATAACTTTTTAATGAGAAAAGATAGGGCTTTCAAATTATATATGTATATTACCTGTGACAAGATCTTTCCCTAAATACTATGATTTTTGACCCCGTGACGTTGACCTTGAAGTTTGACCTCTTTTCAAAAATTTTATCTTTACTTATAACTTTTGATTGAGGAGAGATATGGCTTTCATATTTGACATGTGCATTACCTGTGACAAGACCCTTCCAAACATACTATGATTTTTGACCCCGTGACCTTGAAGTTTGACCTACTTTCCGAAATTCATATCTTTACGTATAACTGTTGATTGAGAATAGACAGGGCTTTCATATTTGACATGTGCATTACCAATGTGAAGGTGTTTCTGAGCATGCTATGACTTTTGACCCCTAGACCTTGACCTTCATGTTTGACCTAATTTTCAAAAAATTTAACTTTGGCGATTTCTTTTGAATTGCATATGATACGGCTTTAATATTTGAAAGTGCAATACCTGTGTCAAAATATTTTCGAATGTGTTATGACATTTGACACCGTGACCTTTACATTCGAGTTTGACCTATTTTTCAAATATTCCATCAGTGTTGCTAACTTTTGAAGGAGCGAAGATAGGCATTCATATTTGACACTTGCATTATGTATTGATGTAATGCCTTTAGATTTCTATTGCCCCTGTAATCAAAGATCGGGGTATATAGTTTATGTCTGTTTGTTCATCTGTCATGCAATTTGTTTGTCTGTCTGCGAAAACTTTAACCTTGCCCAGTATAACTTTTGAATGGTTGGTGCAGGTGCTTTCATATTTCACATGTATATTCCTTGTGACAAGACCTTTGTTTGGGTACTGACATATTTGAACTCTTGAATTTAACCTTGGATTTTGACCTACTTTTGCAAAAATTTACCAAACTTTAACCTTGGCCATAAGTTTTGAACAGTTGAATCTAGGGCCTTTTTTCACTTTATTCCATGCATCCAGACCTTTTCTTTTGGTACCAAAATTTTTGGCCGTAAATTGGGTGTAGAAAAATTACTGATATTCTTTTCTGCTTCTGGTTAAAAACCAAAGAAGCTAAGTGTATAGTTATGAAAACCGGGCTCCTCCTCCCTCTCCTTTGCATTCTGCCACTTTTGTTTCAGAGCCACAGTCGTCGATGGATTCAGCGCTGGAATGCTAGGGCTGGCGGCGGTCTATAAGGAGGAACAGCATGCCAACATCGATGGAAAAGAGGTATTTCTTAGTTCTTAAGAAATGTGAGGTGAGAGTTTTCCCTTCATTCATTGTTTTGTGTTTGCACCACCCACTAAGTACTAACCCATCCCCCTCCCTCCCCTTGGCACTTGTTCTGCTCTTTCGTTTCAGAGCCACAGTCGTCGATGGATTCAGCGCTGGAATGCTAGGGCTGGCGGCGGTCTCTAAGGAGGAACAGCATGCCAACATCGATGGAAAAGAGGTATTTCTTAGTTCTTAAGAAATGTGAGGTAAGAGTTTTCCCTTCATTCATTGTTTTGTGTTTGCACCACCCACTAAGTACTAACCCATCCCCCTCCCTCCCCTTGGCACTTGTTCTGCTCTTTCGTTTCAGAGTCACAGTCGTCGATGGATTCAGCGCTGGAATGCTAGGGCTGGCGGCGGTCTCTAAGGAGGAACAGCATGCCAACATCGATGGAAAAGAGGTATTTCTTAGTTCTTAAGAAATGTGAGGTAAGAGTTTTCCCTTCATTCATTGTTTTGTGTTTGCACCACCCACTAAGTACTAACCCATCCCCCTCCCTCCCCTTGGCACTTGTTCTGCTCTTTCGTTTCAGAGCCACAGTCGTCGATGGATTCAGCGCTGGAATGCTAGGGCTGGCGGCGGTCTTTAAGGAGGAACAGCATGCCAACATCGATGGAAAAGAGGTATTTCTTAGTTCTTAAAAAATGTGAGGTAAGAGTTTTCCCTTCATTCATTGTTTTGTGTTTGCACCACCCACTAAGTACTAACCCATCCCCCTCCCTCCCCTTGGCACTTGTTCTGCTCTTTCGTTTCAGAGCCACAGTCGTCGATGGATTCAGCGCTGGAATGCTAGGGCTGGCGGCGGTCTCTAAGGAGGAACAGCATGCCAACATCGATGGAAAAGAGGTATTTCTTAGTTCTTAAGAAATGTGAGGTAAGAGTTTTCCCTTCATTCATTGTTTTGTGTTTGCACCACCCACTAAGTACTAACCCATCCCCCTCCCTCCCCTTGGCACTTGTTCTGCTCTTTCGTTTCAGAGCCACAGTCGTCGATGGATTCAGTGCTGGAATGCTAGGGCTGGCGGCGGTCTCTAAGGAGGAACAGCATGCCAACATCGATGGAAAAGAGGTATTTCTTAGTTCTTAAGAAACGCTGTTTTTGGAGTTCGTCTAGACTGATTTATGCTATGGGCTTTGACTTCCAGTATTTGTATACATCTACACAATTCATCTTGTGTTGATAATATTTGCATTTAGTTACTTTAATAAGCAAATTTTAATTGATTTGTGAAAATATTGCAGCATAATTTATCCCGCTATCATTCTCTCTCAGGTCTCAACTGGTTAACTGCAGGACAATATAACTAAAAATAATTGAGGGTTTTGGTTTTTTCTTATAACACTTTGCTCCGTTTTCTGGTGATAGCAGAAATTCCTGATTCAGTCACACAAGTTACTAACAATACTTGGATAAGAGAAAAAGTACTATAGTATACTGAATGAAAAGCATATTAAAAATTAACACTTACCAGTGGTCACGAAACTGTAGTTTCTGGACTGCAGATATGAGAATAGACATAACTGGCCTTGACAGTACTTTGAACATCCTGAAAATAATGACTCATCTTTTTATTGGTATTAAATGATATTCTTTTTTGTATACTGCTATGCTGAAGAACATATGCATATGTACTAATAAAATTAATGAAGGATAAGGCTGTGATCAGAGTTTCTCATACACTGCTTCTCCCATCTAATGAAACAGTTCATTGACTTAATTGTGTAAGCAATTTGTTTGTACACTGTAAAATGAACACGTAAACATGTAAACAAGTTATTGAAAAATGTTTTTTTAAAAATGTATTTTATATCGATTAATTTCAATCAGAAAGTTTATGCTACATCCAGACACGAAACTCATCATAGGCCTCTTTGTAACATTTCTACTGAACGCTAGGGGGAGGCAAAGAACGATAACTCTAAATCAGCAGAAGTTGTGACCTGTTGATATTTATTTGATCGTGAGTTGACAAGTAATACACCGGGTCGCAAATTCTAGTTGTAACACTTCCCTGGTGTATGACACTGTCCGAACAAGGTAAATGTATTTTCTACAGGTTTATAGAAAGCTATTTTTACTAAGATTTAAGCAATTACAACATGAAATGTTAACAAAAAAAAAAAAATTTAAATGCACGTGTTATGAATTCATCAAACAGAAAAAAAATTATTTGCAAAGGTATTTCTGCCTGCTTCAAGTTGCATCACTGATTAAAAGTTGCCAAATATAATTAGATATTTTTATGCAAAATAGCAGTTTGAACAGAGGAAGCAATTTTTGTCACTCATTTTTTAAGTATATTGAAGTGGTGTTTTGGTGTTTGATTA